TCAACTAGAGGCGATCATTTTAGTAGCGCACATCGCAGAGCCGATCGGTTCCTTTGGTGAAATGCCGCTTTTTCGCTTCATCGCACTAACAAGAAGAAAAAAAAACGTTTAATAAATGGTTACATAATTAACACATACACCAAAGGACCAATAAAAAAACCAATTCTAAATCACCCTTATTTAACGGCCATAAATCATAACGCCTATAAAACAAATTATCATTCAGTTCAAAGAAGCAACACTTTTGAAGAAGTCTTTGTTTTTACTTTAATTAAGAAGCTAATATCAGTTAAATGGATGAACAAAAAAATGAAGTTGATGAGTCTATTTCTCGATGAATCTATTCTCGTGGCGAACACAGTAACATTTTGAATTGGAATAATTTTTCAATTTTAGGCCATAAAATTTCTATTATTCTGATCTTTGCAAAATTGTCCTTTGTTTATTGATTTGAGTGAAAATGTGTTGCGTATTTGAAGTTCATGATCACTATAAGTCGGTTTTGTGTAGCACACACATGCGTAGATGAGTTCATTGACTCTCCGATTTGTTTAAGTGTTCTTGATGAATTCTTTTAAAAAGCTATAAAAATCGCTGTGCGTCATAAAAATTATTAACAGATGAAATTGGGATAGATTCCCAATGGCACGTACACATGATGCGCAATGGCACGTTCACATGACTTTGTTTAGTGGAAATTGACGCTGCTTTTTTATTTGTTTCGTTTGATTTTTTGTTGTTCTTCTAGTCGTTCCCTTAGAAGGAAATGGAAGGCAATTCAATGCACACGTTCGATGTGTAACCGAAATAAAACACCTACAGCGATCTCACTTACAACCAAAACACTAACCTTCACAATAATAAATTTCGTTGAATTCTCTATATGATTAAATTCATGTATCGCACAGTTTCGAAATAATTTTATTATTGAATTTGCTTGCATTCAATAGAAGGTTTTGTTTGGTCACACAAACATGAGATGTGACCATTGGTTCATGATCGACCATAGAATAGAATAGGATATTCGTATATATTTTTCTAAAACATAAATAAAATCCGTTGCATCATAAAATATGCGTTCGAACAATAATTCTTCCCGAAGAGGAGAAAAAAGAACGTTCTTCATACCATGTTCAATTCCTGCCGAAGTTGGAGTCTGCTGGGAGCCAAACAACGTGAGTTTTGATTACAAAAGCGGCTCATCGCTTGAACTATGCTATGCTATCAGGCCGAGCGTTTTTTTTTCAGCCGAGAGAAGCGAGCTGATAAAATTCGAATTAAGTCGTTTGTTTAGTATAAATATTGCAACATAAATTCATTGGATAAACACCAACTGCACTCCCGCCAGCAAACACACACCGCCGATATTATTTCATTTCATCTTTATTTTTTTCGATTTATGCGCACACGATATATATGTCTGGTATATTTTGTTGTTGTTTATTTTATTTGCTCTATCACCATAGTGCCAGCATAATCTAGTGTTCTGTTTTGTGTGTGCCGGTCTCTTTTTTTGTCTTGGTATTCAATTGAAATATCATATCGTGTGTATGTGCAACTGTTTTTATTTTCTATTCTAAACAGCAGCTACTCCAGCAACTAGGTTGATCTTAGCTCGCTTATCATGGAGTCAGATTTCGACTTGGCTAATTAGATTTCCTAGTTAATGTCGCGCGGCGAGTGAAATGTTAACACAAAGGTATCAATGAATGCAGATGCAAAGATAAATATCGCCATGGGCACATTTTGAAAACGCATCGTTTTGGCGCCACAACTCATTGTTACTTCGTCTTATTTACTTAACGAATTTTCTTTTCTTCATATTTAATCCAGTGGCGCGCGGCAGATAGTAAACTCTTACTTGCCCGCTGTTGTTCGCTCGCACGTGAGAGCAGCTTCTCTCTAATAAATAACATACACACTTCGTTTTGAAATGCACACAGATAGCAATCGATCGCGATTCCGCATACGTACATCGCTTTTATCGCAATTTTGCATGTTAGTCATACTTCATGTTGATAACAAAAAGAATATACACATCTTTTAAAGTTTTTATTTTTCATAGTCATTTCATGAACATTTTCGCGTTATCAATAGCGCTAAAATGTTGTGCCGTGTACGTATAATAAATTTGCCTTTTTACAGGTTGAATACATTAAGAACAAGACCCAAATGGATAATGTCAACGGTCGCATGTGTTGACACATTCGCTCGCAGAGTCTAAAAATAAATCACGGCTTCGATTCCGATTACATGTTATTGCTCTACTTCGGCCGTAAATTATCATAAGTTTTTCTTTCTTCTAATGAAATATTCTACACTAACGGTTTTTTGTTCAAAGAAAAAGAATCAATTCACCGACAATCCATTTTGATGCAAAACATTTTTCAAACTTTGTTACGAAATACAACTGCCAATCCATCACCAGAAAATTACTCGTTTTGTTTATCGCCTCCGAACAATTTTTGGCCAATGTTCGAAATTTGGTTCACAGTATAATCGAATGTACCGTTTCGAATCCCGAAACGAGATTCAATTATAATAACCTGCGATAATAAGGATTTTCGATTGGGTTGCATTATCATTACCGAATCAAAAATCACAATTACTTTTCACCTCGTTTCCGTGAACGGGTTTCGCTCGGCGGGATAGCAACAATAACAAAACTACGGTGAATTGGCCGAGCAAATCGAAGAAAGTTTTCGGTTTTCGCGTCTTGCTTTTTTTCAACAAAGAATTTTGTACATCTTCTCTCGTGTATGTTGTTGCACTTTGGTATCATCGTTTAAAAGATGAATTAACTCTACACGCAAGCCACAGCAGAGTATTTGCAAATTCATACACTGGGCGCACGTAAGAGTTGCATCGTCGGAATTCAAGGACTGTTGTATTGCTGCGTGATTTTTTCTCTATCTCTCTCTCTCTCTTCATTTCGTTTCGTTTTTCGATTCGGTGTGTATTTTTGCGTCTGCTGTAGACCTTGATCGGAGAACCACCTGTCAAACTGCACGAAATCAATTACATCATTATTTTCGTCATGCGCTGCATTCTCAAATCAAATAATTCATTTATGTGTTATTCTGTGTTTGTGTGCAACCGTCGACAGCGAAAGGGTACGGACAAAGCATTCTTTCACATTTTTTTTTTGGTTCCAGATTGAAAATCCATTGGATATTTCAATCGACGTAAATTTGACAGATATTGTGCCTCTTTTTTTCGCCCCAACTTTAAATAAAATTGCAAACCGCCTGACGTGCTTGCACTAAATTAACTCACGCTCCTCTTCACCCGCTTTCGCGTACACTTTCCGGAACGCAATCATGACTCAGTACAAGTAGAAGGAACCATGAACATGAACAAAAACCGTACATTTTTTTGCACATTATCGTCGGAATGTTCGAATTCTGATTTTTATTCAATTGTTCGAGTGTGTGTGTATTTTTTGTGTCCGCTTTTAATGGCAATTCATGCTGTGGCAATTTCACAACCAGAAGTTAACAATGTTTCACTTCGATGTTTTGCGACCTTTTGATTTTCGGTGATATATTATGCGAACTTTTCAAAAGCAGTAGTAGCAGCAGCAGCTGTTTATATCGATTTGTATGTCTTTATTTTTGGTATCATACGATTCATAATGAATGATGTATCGGTTCGCTTGACATTGGTGCGCTTTCTCTATTTTCGAAACTGGATGATAGACAACTGTCACCAGCATTACTGATCGACCATTTTCGGTTTTTATCGCCTTTTGGCCAACAAACTCTATTGACCTTCGCCATTACGAATACAATCAATTCATTAAAATTTCAAACGGTTTCTATACGAACAAACCAAACTAGCAAATTGACTTGAAACGAATGTGGTTGAACATGAACACACTTCACATTTTAATACAGGGAATTTTTGAATCAAAAATAGTCATTTTACTCGCAAAAAAAGTAGAATTGGCCAAGAATCAAAAACACGTTCCATAGAAAAGGTGCTAAACATGAATTTCGAGACGAATGATTCGCATTCCGGAGCGAAGATCAAATTCAAACGAAACATCACCAAATCGTGTTTTCAATATACAAACAACAAACAGCCCAACAATAATTCTATGTAAAACGTTTGTTCTTTTATCGGTTCGTGTTCGGTGTTTGTGCAGAAGCCATACATCACTCGACCAATTAATTTTCGACACACATTCGGTTTGTACGCGATGCAAAGGTTGCTTCGTACGTTTATCATTGATCACACTTGATTTGGATGGGAGAGTTGACCGATTACGGCCCGTAACACACTGAAATGTCGTTCAATCCGTTTTCCATAAATCTCCACAATTGTGATAGATTTAATGTCTATTTTGTTTTATTTCATCTATTTTGTCAGTATTTTGTTTTATTGCCGAGAGAAGAGAGGCAAAGAAACACATTAAAATAACATTTGTTCTAACAAAATACCGTACTTCAATCGGCAAATTTCGTGTGTTTGTGTAGAAAGTTGAGTTTTGGGGGCAATAAATAAAATTGGGAACCGCCTTCTTTGCGATCGAAATCAATATTGCGTGGAATGGATGTCACATCAGTAAACGGAAAGATTTATAACATTATTTAGAATACCTGCACAAGATGCATCCGATACCTTGCCGATCACCGAAAAATAAAATTCGAGCATTAGTTTCGGTGACTTTCTTCTACCTCGTCCTACAAATTTTTAATGACTTTCCGCTCGAAAATGAAAAAAAAGAAACACAAACATTGCAGCAAATTATCTGATGCTTTTCTACTTGAGCGAATGGGAATCGTGCGCAGTTAGCGGTTATTTTATGGTGTAAACAAACAGCAGGTAGTAGTGGTGCCATGCCAGAAGACAGATCCTTGTCGCAGGATCCTCTCTGTATTCATAAAATAAGTTATAAATCTTTCCAAACCTTTTATATTCCATCGATAAGCACATTAACGTGTGTCTTTTTCTCACGTTTTCACATTTTTTCCTCTTTCGCTCCCTTTCTATTCCAGGATGACACGGATAAGGGAGTTAAATTAACGTCACGTGAGAGACGGTTCATAAAATTCGCTTCGGTTGAATTTGACGGTCAATTGTATATGACACCGCAAGACTTCTTGGATTCGGTGGTTGAACAGGAGGCAAGACGTACGTTTTTACACATCTTTGCTTTTGGAATGTATCAACTCATTTGAATTTCATATTTTTCAGCTCGGCTCAAGAGGCGCACACTCACATTAGATGATATAAATAAAATGAAAGACGCAACGCCACCGCTTAAAAAGGGATCCACACAAATGTTTCGCACTCTACGCGACAAAGGCATCATTTCCTACACCGAATATCTGTTTTTGCTCTCGATTTTAACCAGTGAGTGAATGTATTTATTTGAAAAAAAAAATTTAGCAACTTTTTGATGAAATTTCCAAAAAAAATCTTTTTCAGAGCCAAAATCCGGTTTCAAAATTGCATTCAACATGTTTGATACTGATGGCAATCAGCGTGTCGATAAAAATGAGTTTCTAGTCGTAAGTATACCAAGACAAAGAAATTCATTTCCATCATCAATGGGTTTTTTTTCAACATCGTTGAAATCTCAACAAATACTCGATTTTGGAACAATAAGAATAAAATTTGTTTTTGAACTTCTTCTTGAGAAATGAACGATTTTTGTCCCTCGAGTAATTGGCACACAAAAAAATGGTTAATTTTATTGGCATTTGAAACAAATAGATAACGCGCATCCTCGGTGGATCACTTCGTCAGCAGCATTTGGATAGAAAAACGCAGCGAATCGTGAGAAGTTTCCGCATGACTGTTTGTTGTCCGTGTTAGAATGTGGATATAAATGCCTTTGAAATCAATCAACCAATAACAAATCCAATAGCTTCCACTAATCCGTGTTATTAGATGTAGTTCACGTGTGCAATGCAACTGACCAATCTAAAAACAAATCAGAATTCGCCATTCGATGTTGTGGTTTGTAGTTTCATATATAGCTGTGACCATTTAGATCGTGTTAAGTTATGTTTCCACAAACAAAGTGGTCATATTAGCTAGGCAACCCCACATATTTAGCGATTGAATAGAACAAAACCAAGCGTTTACTTTCGACCCAAAAAAATGCCCAAATTCGCATTGCCCTTGTCATTTTGTATCGACGTGTTTTAAGAATAACCAAACGAAAGTGTGTCGATCATTGATTAATTTCCTCGATCGTCGTTGGTTTGATTCGCTTGGGCCTAGAAGAGGATACGAATAGATTCAGCTTCCTACGCTTTGGCGTCCGATTGAGAGACAAACAATTATTGAATGATTTCAAAAATGATGCGGATTTTCTTTTGTAAACCTGTAGGTTATATCGCTGTTACCGACGGAAGAAGCAACTGCGTTGCTCAGACTCCGTTCGCGTGATAAAGAGAATGATGAAAATAGACAAGGTTTTGTAAGTTCGATAGACAGTATTCGATGGAAAATTGAACCTAAAAACATATTGTGATTTAAACAGAGATTGCATATTTGCTGCTGAGTAGGCCTTAGCTGAGCTGAATTTGCTAACTCAGGCGCCTGAAGCGGTATTTTAGCGCACTTACGGTGCAAAATTGTTGTGAATCGCTGGAATTCACGCTGTTTATCAACTATATTTGCGTGGATACCAGCGATCCACAAAAATTTTGCACCGCAAGTGCGCTAAAATACCGCTTCAGGCGCCTGAGTTAGCAAATTCAGCTCAGCTAAGGCCTACTCAGCAGCAAATATGCAATCTCTGGATTTAAACATTTAAATGAAATGCAACTCGTGTAGAACAGATTATCAATAGCAACACTTGTGACACTGCATAGAATGTGGCGAACGTCTTTGTTGCGGCTGAATCATTTTTTCGAATCATTGCAATATTTTCAGATGGAAAACATCTTCATTGGTGCTTGGAGAGATAAACGTGGCATTGCGGCCAATGATGTAAGTTTTGGACAATGAATTCTTTCACACTATCAAACTGGAATGATGGATTCATTCATTAATATTACTTTGCAATATATTATCCCGCCAGGATACGTATGTTGAAGATGAAGAAGGATTACAACGACGCCACAAAGTTGACACGACATTGCAAGTGCACTTCTTTGGCAAGAAAGGAAATCAAGACTTACACTACGAAGGATTTTATAAGTTCATGGACAATTTGCAAACGGAGGTGCTTGAGCTGGAGTTTTATGAATTCTCAAAGGGAAACATTGCAATTACCGAAGTCGATTTCGCAAAAATCCTTCTCAGATACACTTATTTGGTTTGTTTTCGATAATCATGTTGAGTGAATGTGTGAAACGTCATAATAAAACGATATACTCGCCATTTTATAGGATACTGACGAATACGACATGTATTTGGACCGTTTATTGGACCGTGTTAAACACGAAAAAGGAGTGACTTTCAAGGAATTCAAAGACTTTTGCCAATTTTTGAACAATCTCGAAGATTTTAGCATTGCTATGCGAATGTATACACTCAGCGATCAAGCTATTTCAAAAGGTTGGGTATCATCACCGTTTTTTTTTTGAGATTTTTTTTTTTAATTTCTCATAGAAAAATCGGTGTCCATTGATTTCCGTTCATTTTAATTCTAAATTTGTTTGATTTTTTTCATTTCATTGTTTCATTGATTTGTTATTTTTTATTCCAGGAGAATTTGCTCGAGCAGTGAAGATATGCACTGGACTGACCTTATCGGAGCATTTGGTTGACACCGTTTTTGCTATTTTTGACGAAGACGGTGACGGCATGTTATCTTACAAAGAGTTCATTGCCATAATGAAGGATCGTTTGCATCGTGGCTTCAAAGTAAGTAACGATGGCAGTATCGAGTACAACGAAGAGCTAACCGATGAATATGAGGACGGTGTTCTTGCTTTCCCCACCTTCATGCGCAGTAGAGCCTGCCGAAAACTAAGACGCCAATTTAGAATTTTACAGCTTTAGTCGTTTTTTAAAAACATTTTTATTTACCGTGTTCAATTGTATGATACAATTTTGTTGTTGTTGCTTCTGTTTATTTTAATACTCTTGCATTTTAAGTCATTTTATATAAATTTTTATATATGATTTTTTTTTGGTGTGTTTTAACACACAATTTGCATGGTCACAAATTTTGTGATAGAAATCGTGGTCAATTTTTTACATTAAAAAACTGACTTGGTTCTCAGTTCAACTGAAGCCAGATATTTTTGGACGAAATTTTTGAAGAAAATAAAATCGATTATAATTTCTAGTTTTTTTTAGTTCTTTATTTTTTTGTTAAGTTAGTGTGCACTTTTCTGGTTTATGGTAAGTTTTGCCAGATCTTTTTTTCTTCATTTTTTTTTGGTTTGATTTGTTGCTGTGTTTGTGTGATAATTTGACTAATTGACCAAAAAACCTGGTAAAATGAGCTAATGTTAATCATGACCATTCAATCTGAATCTTTTTCTTTTTAGTCTGTCGCCAAATCCGAAGGATGGGAGGCCTTTAAGCATTGTCTTAAACAAGAAATGAAAGCAAAATTTTAAACGAATTTTCTCAAATCACTTTATCTATCAGCAATTGCAAGCCACTTTTTTACTCATTTTAATTAAAAGGCGTTCAATTAACAAGTTATTTAAAGAAAAAACGTGGAATCGAAGTCTTATTTTATAATTTGAAAGAAGAGTCGGTGCAATCAAATGAAGAGTTCGTACGATTCACGATTTTAAATTATTAGCACAAAGTTGTATCGTAGTTTTTAAAAAAATCACCTTTGGAAAGAAAAAAAATCACCTCATTTCGCGCAAAACACTTTTCTACTCTTTTACGCTTTAACCCAATTTTTCGCTACAAATGAGATTGTTATATCATGTTATCTACTTTGAATTACCATAAAACTGAGGAATACCCCTGAGGAATAATATTTTATTCTATTTACGTATATCATAGTTAATTTATTCAGTCTAGAAAGCGCTTGCCTTGAAAATGAAAGAATTTTATCTCGGTTAAAAACTAAATAATCGAAATGTAGTAAAAATGCGAATGAAATAATAAAAAAAATCTCTCTCATAAATGTGTTTGGGATTCTATTGATTACGTCGGTTATTTTCAGCAGTGGCTAATAAAAACTGTGATCAAAGAATTAGCAAACGAAAACGAGATTTTTTGTAGTTTTTTATTTCAGGTTTTGCTCTATTCAATCACACACACACACAAACGAGATACGTGTGAACGTCGGTGGATAGAGAGTAGTCAATAAATTTGACACACGTTTGTTCTCTACTCAATGCCATACCTCCTGTGATAGGTGAATCACAAAAAGTCTAATTTAAAATTGTGGTTGAAATGTAAACAACGATTGACCTGTTTCATAGTTCTATTTCTTAAAAAAGCACAGGAAATTCGCTGCACATTTTTTATGATCATTATCAAGATTCCAGTATTTTTGGTTTGTACTCATTTAAAAATAGTCTTTCCGCATCATGTGCGATATTTACACAGTGATATTTCATATGACTATGCAAATATAATGGACGGTTTGACGTCGTCAGTGCTAAAGATGTGTTTCAATTGACAATGCCGCATTAACAGACCCCATTGCAACGAGACAAAAGAAACTACACGGTTGAAAAGTAGCATTGTGTGTGCGATAATAGAGAGACACTAGCAACCGGTTTGTGACGAAAATCGGAATCTCCAAATGGCTAATTAGCATGCGCTTGTATTAGAATTGGTTCTACATTTATTGTTTGTGTACGTGCAGTGCAGTAGTTTCTGTACGAAAAGATGTGAAGTTAAGGAAATCCCGTCGCACGCTTTGTTATCAGTCAATGGAAATGCGATCAAATTGCATTGACATGCAAATTCTCAGGATCAGGTCAAGTTCGTTGTAATGCTGTGAATCAGGGTGGAATTTTGTTTTTATTCGTCAAATCACCGGACAACGGATATTGATCTACGCTTAATTCACACACCGATTGCATTGCGTCTCAAAAATTCCCACACACAAACAAAATCATTAATCAATACACACGTCCGTATTTAACTGCGGTTTTACTTCTTCTTCTCGAAAAGCTATTTTATTGATCTTGTCTGTGGCTGGTGCTCTAGCTGATGGGATTTTTTTTTCTTCTTCTTCCACTGTTCGAATTATGTGTTTCTTGATTTTTGTTTTCGAGTGTGAGCGTGTACGGCGTTGTGTGTTTAACACTAACAACGTATTTACCTCTCTCGTATCACTGTCGTGTGTGAGAAAGACGTATACTTGTTTTTTTTCTCTGTTGTTTTTTTTCCACTTCGGTTGACTTCAAGTTGAAGCGGTCAGTCAACATCGAGAACACAAACCGATAAGCTGTCTTGTCACTTACTCACTCAACGACAATTTTTGTGATTGAGAGGTGAAGCACACATAAAATTTAGTTTGCGTCGCATCAAGTCGCAAATAAAGTCCAAGAGTGTTAGTTTGTTCAGTCAAATCAATTGTAATTTGGAACCAGTGATAATTTATTATCACGACGACGTTTTTGTTTCCTCTGCTGTCGAACAAATGTTCAACAAATTGGATATTTCAACGCAAAACTAGTGAATATTGAAAAAGAAATCTTTCCAACAAAGACTGTGTTCAAAAAAGAAGAAAAATGATTAAAACGTCCATAATTTTGCGTAAGTACTTTATTCTAGAAATAAAAATGTTTCCAGAGGTCAAGCTCTTATCAGTGAATCTTTGTGAGAATGTTTAATGTTGTTTTTAATTTTTGTTTTATACTCTTTTTTACCTCCTGTTTTGCATGTATTTTACTTCATCGTCCATTTGCTCGTCTATACATATGCACATCGAACGTGGTGGCATGGAAAATTAATGATAATTTTCAACTCGGTGCCGATGAAACTAGTTTTAACGATTGCAGTAATTAGCAAAGGTCAACAACAACAACAAAACCTGCAGAAGAAATTAAATGAATTGTACACACCAAACAAATCGAACAAAGATGCAAATGTGCAAGTAGAGCCGCAAGAAATCAAACCCAGTGATCCGATCACATTTCCGACCAGCGATGAAGATGGTCCCAAATTTCCACCACCGTCGGCACAGGCTGTGAATGCCATCCCAGCCAATCAAAATGCCAATTTAATACAGCAAAATGTTGAACAGAATTTGCCAGCGCATGGTCCACTTGTCAAACTGACACGGCCAACCAGGGTGGCCGTTGCGGCTACCAGTTCGGCGGCCATCACAAATCGGTACACCGTTGATCAGTTGGATTATGTGCGAGATTTTGCATGGACAATGTTCCAGGTAGGCAATTTGGCATTGCAAAATTATATTGAAGAACATATGAAAATTAATCGGTTTTTCAGGGTTCAAAGTTGCCATCATCAATTGGAAATCTGGTGTTGTCTCCAATCCAGCCACAATTACAGTTATCGCTACTCAGAACGGGTGCGGCTGACCTTACGCAGGAAGAGATTGCTCATGCCATTCGTGAAGTGAATCCCGGCGTGACCAGAGATTTAATTGGCCAATTGAAACTGGTAAACAGTGTTTCTACGAATTTGGGTGTCGCCAGCGCTATGTTTACTAAGAACAGTCTCAAGTATGTTACGTTTTTTTCGCATTTCGAAATGAACTTTTTATTTGAAGTTTATTGATTTTATTAATTGGAATCGCCTTTTCATTCATTCAATTTGTAGATTGAACAATTCATTCATCCAAGCAGCTCACGATCGTGATGTGAACATTGTGCCGGTTAATTTTGAGTCACAAGAAGAAACCAAATATATCATCAACAATTGGGTGGCCAATGCTACAAATAACCGTATCAGAGACTTCTTCAAGCCTGGCGATGCAATCAACTCGGGCGCACAAGTGATTCTAACCAATTCAATCTATTTCAACGGTGAATGGAAGTATGGATTTAACGAAGTAAAATCGGAACCATTTTATACCACTGAAAAACTGTCAAAGAATGTTCAAATGATGAAGAATCTTGTGTCATTGCGAACCGGTCACATCACACTTCGAAACGGATTCTCCGGCCAATGGGTCGAATTGCCTTATCGTGGCGATGAATTTTCAATGGTTATTATCGTTCCGACACAGAGACACTATTTGGATGAATTCATCCGATCAATGCGTACAAATGATTTCAGCGACATAATAAAGCAACTGTCAAACGGTTTCAAGAAGTTGGTGCATTTATCGATGCCAAAATTCACCGTCACCTCATCATTCTCATTGGTCAACGTTTTGTTGAAGGTAAAATTTCCATGGGTTGACTATTTCATGAGGTTTTTTTTGCGACTATTAGAGTAAATATTTGAATATTGTGACCTAAAAAAAAATGAAATATCTCTTTTTCCAGATGGGAGTGGTGGATTTATTCGCTCAAACCAGCCGTTTGCCATACGTAACCGACAACGGTAGTCCATTGCGTGTGCAGGACATAATACAAAATGGTTTTCTCTGTGTCGATGAAAAAGGAACGATTGCTGCTGTCGCAACCATTTCGCATGTGGTCACATTGAGTCTGAATAGCGCCCCCGAAGAAGTGTTCTTCAACGTTGATCAACCATTCTTGTCAATTATCGTCGATAAACGCAACCAAGTTCCAGTTTTCATTTCAAAAATATTCGATCCATAAATAATAACCAAACGCTATGACGTTTGACAAATAAATAGCCAGACTAATCCATGGAAATCCCTTCGAATAATGTAAAATATCTTTGTGTGGAAGAGAGAGAGAGAGAGAGAACCAACAATCTTATGACGAAATCATGAACTTGATTGACATTTTTTTTATAATGAAATAAAACATTTATTCGAAATACTCAGCATTTATAATCGCGAGCCGAGGTCTTTTCAATCAAAACCGCAATGTTGTTTTGCGTATTCAAGTTTACTGATACAAATGAATTGGAATAGCAAATCGCATATCGTACATCAGTAAAGGTGTCGAAGTTAATCACACCATCGATGACTCACCCACACTCAATCAGTGAAACACTATTTAAAACACTCGGATTGCATGTTTGTTTACACATTCTTTTGTAATTAGATATTTTTTTTTCTGTTAAACAATAACGATTTGAAAACAATCTCTTGTATATTTTTCAAATGTGTGCATATAAAATAGTTGAATTTCCCATTGAACATTCCTCGATGTTCGATATTTGTAAAATAGAAGAAATTGACCGGATTTTTGAACCAATTCGTGTAAACTCGTAATTTGTTTATGACATCCTGTGAGGAAAAACAACAAAAGTATGATCAATTAGAGCAAATTCGTTTTGAGTATCAAAGCAACGTTGCGAAATTGTTACTTACGCTTCAATAAGCGATGCTCGCAATGAGCTCGACACGCTCGTCGGATGTGCATCATTGAGTTTGAATACACTTTCGATTACGGAAATTTCTGTGGATGTTGAGCTCATTCCAACAAATGCACTCCAGTCGTTGACAACGCAACCGGCTCCAAGCACTTCGCTACCACGGTTCACTGTACCCGCCTGGCCAAGAGGTGATTTACAATCAATAAAATGATGAATATTTCGAAACATTTTGTAATATTCATAAAGGAATTTTTCTGTCACCCTTAAGAATGCCAATTTGAATCTTTTAAAATGACAAATGTCAGCATGAAAACTCGATAACTTACAACAAGCGGAACTTGAAGCAATGACGACAATTCGTCTTGATCTTCTATTGAAGTTTTTGGATGAACGAGGCCACCTTGATTGCTGAGCACTGTGTATGAACCAACTAAAACGTTATTAGCTACAGTTTGACGGAAAACTTCCACATTCAATACATCTCCGATGATTTCTTCTGTTTCCTACGATTGAAAGACATTCGGTTAGTAATTTCGAATATCAAGCCATTGAAGTGACTCATTGATATTGACTCTAAAAAAGCGTATGAAACAAATATATCATCACTAAAAAAAGTGCACCTTATCTAAGTCTGGATGAACCAATGCGACGTAGTCATTGCAAGCAATAACATTCCCAAGAGCAGATAGCCGTTCTTCAACGCGCTGTATCTTTACATTGTCTGGCAAGCTATTTCGTATGTGTTGCAATTCGACGTCACTGGTGCCGCTTGGTACAAGCAAACCATTCTTGTTGCCGACCGTTAATCGTCCGATGATTCGACAACCATTAATGCTTGTGTGAATAACTGGTATTGTTTCGGCTAATTCGGCTTCAAACACACTGAAATCATGCGAAACGAAATTTTTATTAGCAAAATCATTATCCTGATACACCACGGCATCCACGTGTGAATTGAGCAGATGGTGTGTTGACAAGGAAACAACATTGTAACATAACCTTTGTACGAAAAACTCGAAATTTTACCTGTAAAATGTCTCAGCACCACCGATAGCCACCAGGCAATATGAATTTGTTAATTTTGTGAAGACACCGATGTCATCATTGTTTTCAAACTGTACACGCAATGCCATTTTTCTTCTCGCACAAATATCACTTATTCCGTTTTACTTGATATCAAATATCCTCTGACTTGACTCTTTGGGTACTTGTCAAAAAATAATGTTTAACTCGGTTTCAGTCACACGCTTTTAATAGAATTTCTAATCAATGACATTGGAGTGAAGTTGGTTCGACGGTACCTTGTTGTATGACCAATTGAATTTCATAACATTATGCATTGTTCAATGTTGCAATTTCGAATTGTTTTTCGTTGCGAAGAAGTTGAATTTTTCTTTTAAAATATTATGAAAAAAATGATGAAAAAATAATAAAGAAAAATCTTCTGGAAATTAGTATTATTTTCACTCAAATTGAATTGCAACAATAACGATGGTGTGGAGAATTTTGAATTTCATTTGTCCGACACCCTCCCTTGCTGTGGCGCTGTATGCAGCATCAATTGTGTGAAGAGAATTCGGTTCGTGTCGAACTGTCAATTCACTTGAAAATTTGAACAACAACCAGCGCAACGACGCATTCATCTGTTCAACAACAATTTTTTAATGGTTTAAAAGAAAAAAACAGAACACCATATATTCCAGTTTTTGTAATTGTTTGAGTAAAAAGTGTAGTTAAATTTTAAGAAAAGTGTATGTAAATGTTCTTGTGATTGTAGAATAAAAAAGATTTTTTAGAAATATTGAAAGGGAAATTCATCAAAACGATTTTGGTCGGCTGCTACTGATATGATCAGCACATCAAATGCAGTTTAACAGTTAGATTGGCGCGCGCACACATCAATTTAGGTGATGTGCGCTCAATTTTTTCATTGAATTTGGATCGAATCTCCTTTTAAAATCAGAGATATTGATTGCGTATCTATTGAATTTCAGATTTTCAAGCAATTCGGAAAATTTCAACAGAATCTCAAGATGAGCAAAAAGTCATTTTCCAGCATTTATTCAGAATATACGAAGTTCTATGGCGAGGTATGCAAAAAAAATGTCTTTAGGTTATGCTTTCATTGGTTGTAAATGCATTTTCATATATTTTTACAAATTGACAAACATTCGATTCATGATGGCAATTTCAATGTATTATTGTTTCTTTCAGAAAAATCATGCCCAATGCCTGGAAGTTTTCGCTCGATTCGATTTGAAGAGCAGCTACGCCAACTACAGTGAACAAGTGAATTTTCTGCTACGATCAGCATGCTACTGTTTGTTCTCATTAAAAAATCCAAACGAAAGGTACAACGTTTCGATTGCAAATGGTTATAAAAACGTTCTGTCCGAAGCAGCAAATGGTTCTGATTATGAAAAATTCTTATCGATATTGAGTTATTTCCTGACCAATTCGGATCGATACCTTGCGTTGATCTCGGGATTGTCATCATCGGCAACGAGTGATTGGCTGCGAGCAACGAACAAATACATATTTCAAGTGCTCAAGAATGCAAATATTGTCGACGATGTGGCTCATATCAAGCGTAAGGAAATCTATTTACAACTCACACAAGCGTTGTTGATATTTGTGTACGCCGAAGTAAAACAGGCTAGTTTGTCAAAGAGCAGTTGGAAATTCGATGAAAGCCGGAGCTTCTTGAGTAGTTGTCAACAGTTCAATTTGTTCCAAGAAGGGGAAAGCATCCGGCAATACAGTTTATGCTTCGAAATGTTGGACAAGTTTCTTGTTGCTCTCAGTTCAGAAGCTGGCAATGGGAAATTGGGACAAGCCATTGAGACATTTTTGAAACATTTAAAGTAAGATATCGATTTTATTAACAAATTTTCGATTCACATCAAATTTCGCAACTTGGATGCTATTATAATTCAATGCTCTTCCTTTCAGATCGTTGACAAAGTCAAATGAGGTACGTGCAACACTCACTCAAGACAATTACGTGACATTGGCCAAAATTTTGAAAGCGTACACACCGCAGTTTGTCCAAACTGTAGACCCAAAGAACGTGGCTGGCTGCTTCAAAGTCATTGAATACGTTGGTCGCGTGGTGAAACAAGTGAAATCAACCAAACCATTTTGCACGGACTGCAATAGCATCGGCGAACATTGCACACACGAACTGGCGGTTTTAGCATCGGAAATGTATTCAACGTTGATTGAAAAAGAGACCGGTGAGCCGATTGAAGAATTTGCCAATATTATCCAGTACGATTTTGATGCCGTTTGTAAGCTAAAGTGCGCCAAAATGCTGGATACACAACGCGATGCCGTTTCCAAGGTTCGAAATTTGGCAAGAAAATGCGAATCAAAAGAAAACGCCAAATTCATGATACCAGTCATAAAGTCGCTCTTGAAGCGCTACAATAAATTCAAACTGATGGAAGAACAACTGTTGGTGAATAGCTTCGATGTGGTGTATATGCTTAACCATTTATTCACTATTCTCAATGCAACGGATCGATGGGAGGAAGTGGTCGATGTCGGCTATTTGTACATGGCGTTCCATTCGTCGGTTCCGAATCATCCGTCAGGAAATTTCGAGCACATTGTTTGGACATTGGCCAAAAAGCAAAAAGATAACAAAGCAACGAAAACCCCGTACGACAACTTCAGCAAGCCCACAGAGGAATCATTGTACGGACTTAAGCTACCCGATAATTTGAATATTAATAAACTTTCACTCGATTTGTTGAGAGTTGGTTTCAAATACGGTATTCTAACACCTGACCTGAGTAACCGAGTTATAAATCAGCTACTGGAGGCATCAATGAAGAATTCCGATTCATTACGATTCGCATTGTCCGTCCAATCAATGAAATTCGACAAAGAGACCAGTGAACGAGTGGATAAGCTGGTGAGTTTGTTCCATGCCAAAAGTAAAAAGGATTTGTCAATTGCACTGCAGCTTGCCGCCATCAAATACCTGAGATTGAATTTTGAAGGCACACAAATACAAGACAAATATTCCAATCTAAGCATCTCAGAAGCACTATCAGAAGCGCAAATTGCATCGCAGACCAGCATTTTTCGTGATATTACGTTCGATCAAGAGAAAACTCAAATCGAAACGTTGCGCTACGTGAAAGATAAATTCATTGGATTTGTGCAATTTTATCTAAGTAAAACGGATGAAGAACGACAGAAATTCAATGATGAAAAGGAACTATTATTGCGGGAGCTCAAGGTAGTTGCAAATCAGTTTGTTGTTCGTGGTTATATGGAAGATGGGTTTGAATTGTACATGGCGCTGTTTAAGCTGTCAAAAGAAATTCAGGATGAATTTGGACTGATCGATGCATGCTCATTCTTTGCTGAAAACTCGTCAGATTTCAAGCAAAAATTCTCAAAAGAAAACCTACAGTCAATCATCGAAGAATGCTTTGCTGCCTGTGTAGAAAAACTCAAGTATTTAAACCATTTGTCGACTCGCAAGCAAACTCAAGTATGCTTCTGCATTTTGAATCTAGTATTATACTACTACGAGGACAGCGGTAAATATGAAAAAGAAATCCATTTGATTTTGGCGTTTATTTTTAAAACCATCGGCGGCACTGGCGATGAAAAGATGGAAAAGACAATGGAAGCTTTGATTGGGTCCATAGAAAAAGCCAAAACGAATAACGAAATAAGGAAAAGTTTCTCGGAAGCGATTCGCATCAAATTCTATTCGGTATTGTTCACCATAATCACAAAATACGGAGCACCGAGCGCTTTTCATCCGACCAAATTTATTCAGTTCGTCATGAATCACATTAAAACGTATTTGAGTGTGTATTACGACAACACAGCCGCAGTTCCGATATTACTGTACAATGTGATACCGGAAATGGTGATGTGGCTTGAAGGCCACTATCAATTGAATGTCGATATTCCGGCGCTTGTGCTAACGTTGCTAAAATTATCATTGAAATCGGGCTATGCAAACCGTTCGGTTAATTTGATGATCGTTCTGCTGCAAATGGATTTATTAGGAGAGAAATTGACACCGTGCAAGGTAATTATCGCCAAAAAAGTGAAAATTCATCTGAATTCTAAGAGTGAACGAAAAAAAAGGATTCGAGTTCATTTAAACAACGATTTCATTCTCTTAACAGACCAAATTGAAGGCATTGGAATATGTGATGCTGTCAGAAGCCCCAACATCAACCGAATATAAAAAATCGGAGAGTCCTGTGTACGCAATAGATAACAATAAACTGTGTGAACCAATTCGAAAGCAAGCTACCGCTACCAGTCCAATGAAGTGCCTATCACCGAAACAGGTTGTTAGTAAATTGGTCATATAAATCATTATTCAATTGAAAACAATTATTTTCCTCCTAAATTCATGTTTAAAATTCATTTCATTCACAGAGTGTCGGTAGCCTAACAACTCAATCGATTAGATATTTGCCGAATCACGCGAATGGCTGTGAGTGTGGGATTTGTTTCAGTCCGCAGAACAAATTTTTCATCTTTTGTGTGGCTGTGGCCTACGCTCGTTACGTCTATGTGAACGATGAAGAATTCGATGCAAGAACGAAACGTGCTGTATTCACCGAGCTGCTCAAGTACTGGGAGAAGTGTCGAAAAGAGAAAACGCTGCCCAAAAATGATTGGTATTATATTGTTAGTGCTCGTATGCTATCATATGATGCTCATTTCAAATGGAAATTTGAAAAAGACTATTCAAACGCTGTAGATCAATTACTTCGAGGTTTGAAAGGATTGGAAAGAGTTAAAAATGGTGCAAATACACTAAAATACGACCTCCAACACCAGGTTGATCGAATGAATGAAACAATCCGTTCCAAAGAGATGACCAGAGAGGAAAGATATGCGGGCCCAAACTATATCATTCGTAACAAAGGGTTCGTTGATCAAGTGGAAGCTCAACCAAAGAAAAAAGCGCAACCAGCTACGAAGACTGCGGCAAAATCACGAACGCCTGCCCTTGTAGTCAGTACACCAAAACCACGAGTCAACCTACTTGACATGATAAACAAAGAGCCAACACCGAAATTCGCCAATTTCCAGATACACGACGACGGGGCTGTAGGAGGTGCAGAAATCACACCCAGCTTGAAGCGATCAACGCGAAGTCAGAGAAAAAAAGTGGACGAGACACCGGTTCGTAAGGCATCGGTTTGGGAGATTTTGGATGATGACGAAAATAACGTTGCCAAAACCTCTGAACGACCGAAACGTGTTCCAAAATCAAATGCAGCACCAACCGATTATATTGATTTAGCATCCGACTTACCACCGCCGAAAATAAATTTCAAACGTAATCTGCCAACCATTCACATAGACTTAACTTCACCACCAGAAAAGAATGCTGAAAACAATGAGAAGTCAACACCGGAAACACCAATCACGTCAAAACCGCCACAAATAAGCGGACCCAAAAAACCAAAATGTCCACCAAAAAAGGATGCACGTAAAGTGGTGGTCAATGAAACCTATCTACCGAAACAATGAACAGTTGGAGAGTTCGAGAAGCCAAATTAGATTAAACCAAAAGTGAAAATGAAAACAAAAGCGATTCCATGATTTTTTCTTTCATTTAGTTTTTAATATAAAATGTCCATAATTCCAACATGTTTTATCAGACCTGTGTACATTTCGAATGGAATTGGTGTTCGCATAACAAAACATTTCTATTTGATCTGACTAATACAATATGTACAAATGGCATTCCAAATAGACTGTTTGTTTAACTAAATTTTAATTATCTAATTTTTTTCTTCCAAAATGAATCAATAAATGTTGTCACGATACAGTGCAAAGTGTGACACTTGAACCAAAACATTCTTTCGTTCTTTACTCTAAGGCTAGATTTTGGCATTTCAGCAAAAAATATACGTATCAAAAATGAATCGATGTTATTCCTAATAATACATTCTACTATCTAGAAAGGTGTTGTAATTAATGCTGACGTCGATCTATAACCATTTAACATCATGATAAAATCAATTTCCACAAATTTGTGCAGACACAATGGTTTGAATAACTTATTGGCACTCCTTAGAATTAACCATCACTTAAAATGGTAACATGTGTGAAGTCAAGTCATTCGCTTGAAGTATTTTCCCGTATCCTATTGTGCAATATCCTTTTGAGTTTTTTCGTCCACATCAACATTTTCATTTGGCTGAATGAACGATACCATTTCTCTGTTGTTTGAACCGTCCGGATGATTGAGACGGCGTTTTCGTCTGTCGTTGTCATTGGTCGGTGTAGCTTGGTATTCATTTGCTGAATGGGAATGGAATTCGGCCGGTCCAAAGAAACTCAGAATCACAGGCAAAAATATAAGGCCGAAGAACAATCCGAATATGATCACTAGAAGGAAAATCTGCAATCAAAATTTCAAATGAGGTTAAAATCTCAAATTTGAAAATGTTGAATCATATCAAGTCTACGAGGATCAATGATCATTCATATATTTGTTGAAAAACCACAAAATCAAAGGTACCTTGAAAAAGGCTTGGAAGGTGTACGCTTCGGAATTAGCCAACATTGAAACGGCAAGCAAAGTGGACAGACCACCATAAAAAACAGCCGGCACAATATGCGTAACTGTATGCAAAGCTCGTTCATGTTTTGTTCCAGGTCCGGTAACTAAAAATGTATGGCCTATATGAGCCGCATAGTCAACGCACAAACCAACCGCCAATTCCAGTCCAATGCACGACACCAAATCAATTGTCAATCCCCACGCTTCCATTAGGCCGCATACATTTATCTGAAGTTAATAAGAGGGAATGAATGATGAAAGGTTGAAAATTCGAAATTCATTTCGACTGCAAGCATAATATTTTCAAAAAAAAAACTCACCAGTGTCAACACGACGCACATAAATATCCAAAAGCAAATATTCGGATTTAATATTAAAATTGTTGTACAGAACATAACACAACCCAATGCCAACATAATGTTTCTGCTGACCTCCTCATCGATTACCTAGGAACAGAAATGAGTCAGAATTGCTTTCAATATCTCCGTCATGGAATCGTTCTTCGAGTCAATATTCACTTACCTCATCTGTCACCCAGTTCCCATATATTCTCCCCCATACGGTTGCAAATGCATCTCCACTATGTAGTTCCGCTTCTTCTACGATTTTTTCAATTGCGTGCATAGCGGGCAGATAGTTATTGCGTCCATCAAATCGTTTGTAACTGAAATTGATGGTGGAAACGGTGATTTCTGGCACTGGTTCACCACAAACAAGCAGTGATTTGAATCGGAAATTTGCTCGATATTTGCCACCTTTACGAGTGTGCAAGAATTTCGAAAGGTAAAACCGAAAATCGTAATCGCTCATTGTCTGATTGAAGAAATCAACCTCATAATAAGTTTGAACAAACTGATGGAATGGATTTACCCATGACGTTATTTCGTGTACTAAATCGGTTCGATTTTCAATCGTTTCAACCATATTTGCAATATGATTTAGTTCTTCAGTGTAATTGAGGCTTCCCATCAAAATCATCGCTTCGTAGCCTTGGTCGGGGAAGAGATCGTTTTTAACAGCCGTAAATTTACTGAGATAAGTACGTTGTGGGATAAACCAATTTGGATCGAATTTTTGCTCGAGCCGCAATAGACCGGTGAAAGAGTACGACGTCACAGCCACTGTTGTCATCAGGACAATAATTTTTCCCGATTTTGTCATAATGAAATTGGTGTACATGTATTTCACGATTCGATCCATCAAATGTGCATCACACCATAGTGTGTTAGATTTATGTGTGATACACGGCGCGAATGCGTTGCGATTGCCCAAAATACGTTTTTCGTCAATTACAAAAATTGCCACCACAAATGTGTTGACATAGATGAATATCAGAACGACACCCATGCCAGCGTATAAGCAGAATGATTCCAAGGAAGGAAGAATCTGTAAACGAATATAATTTTGGGTTGAGACTTTAAGAAATGGGAAAACTGCTGATACTTACAGTAATAGATCCGATGACGAATGCAACGACATCAGTGAATGATGTGATTGTAATGGAGCTGCCGGCCATTTGAAGCATCATTCCGATGCGTTCGGGAAGCGTTGATGGATCTCGAGGCGATATGTGCTCTCTTTGCACCTTCTGCCAACACGCCATTATTACAAACATATCATCAATACCCAGACCCATCAGTAGGAAGGGTAACGATGTATGCACAGGACCATACGAAATGCCGAGATACGAACACAAGCCAATGGCTGATGCAAATGCCATTCCGACACTCATCAAACCCATGCTGCAGAGTAACACTCTCAATTCAACCCATCCGAATTTGGACAGAACCATAATCATGAACATAAACATCATCGCGCTACCGAACACTATTTTATTCATGTCTTGGAACATGGTTGCCGAACTGATGTCACCGTAACTAAAAATGTACAATTTTTCCATTTTAAAATCAGTTTTACTTTTTATTTGTTGCATTTCTCTCACCTTCTGCCAGCTGAGTAATAGATTTTTGTTTCATCATCTTCCAGATCCTCCTTCATTATTTTCATTGTATTCAAAAATTCTTGTTCCCATGCAAGTGCTTCTTCCGAAGCCCAATCCTCTGTACCAGCCGAGTTTCCAACTTTGTCATGATTCACTTTCAAAAAGTTAACATAAACCATCCAATTCGTCATCAATCCCGTTGCGGCAACGATATGACCAGTTTCATTACGCGTAACACCTCCCAACAAGCGCTCAAAATTCGCTTCATGACCCGTTGTTTGGCTGGTACTGGTCGTGTGCAGTGCATTCAAAATATCTTGTTTGGTCATGTGATTTACATCAGTGAAATTCCACATTTCCAAAAAGTTCTGTAGCATACAACCAATGGGCAATGATTCTACAATGCTGCAGAAAATTATTGGCGCCAAATCCACGCTTGGATCGAATGGGCGTTCACTTCGCGTCATTCGGTGCAATTGTTGGGCAAAGCTTGATAAGATCAAATTCGAATCTCGTGTGCTTCGTTTTCTACGACGTTTCTGATCATTTTCATTGAAATCCGCTATATTTGGAATATGAAAACACACATCATTCCATCCGATTGACGTTCCATTCTCTAGGTTCGCATTAAAATTCATGACTTCTTTACTGATTTCCAAGAGCTGCAAGAGGGAAATGTAATTTGTGATTAAAATTTGATTTATACTGATAGACAATGATGAATTGAAAAGAGTTTTGCTCATAAAAAAGTTCAATTTTGACCAGACATTGGTACCTTTTTCAGAACATGCGGTTGAAGTACATCTGGTGCTGTGATTAGTACACTTTGTAACCGAAAACCTTCTTCGAATGACTTCATCAGCCATTCTGTATCCCTGAGAAATTTTGATTCTGAAATGAGCCCAGAAAAATGTAAGTAAATCTGTTTGAGTGATTTCGATTAGAAATCATTATATTCATCAATACCTGGAGGGATCCATAATTTGAGTGGATTCTTTTCACTATGAAATTTAAAATAACCCGAGCTACATATGAGAGTTAGAAGAAATGACAGAAGAATTGTTTTCACAGGATGCGTTGCAACGGTATAACCCAGTCTGAAATGAATTATCGAAAAAGATTTCTTTTAGATTTGTGATGAAAAATGCATTCAATTCAAAAGTCAATATAATTTGTCATTATTCTTTGTGCTATTAACCCTCTAGTTCGTAAGACCGCCTTTAGGCGGACAACAAAAAAAACGCTATATACAGTAAACGATACGTCAGATCAAAATGTTCACAGCTACTTTTTTATCCGTAAACCTGTCTTCTTCATTTTTGTCACTTACACTTTTAGTCTACGTCAAGCGGTTCATTAGTTATCAACAAGAATTTACGCGGAAAACAAAATTGACAGAATTGATTATTTTTTATTTCAAAATTAGACACATTTTTGACACTTTTACCTAAACAATGGATTCGATTGTTCTCGGCTATTTGTCAATAGCATTTTTCTAGTAAACTATGGGGAATTTGGCATTTTAATTATTTTTTTCGTAATCTACGCCCCAAAATCAGTTTAAAGTGAGCTCCCCAGCTCTGTAGAAAAATGGTGCAGTAGAGGGTTAAACGAACGATAAGTTTATTATCTCATGCAATTGAGTCGTCGACATATGATCGACTTTTTGTATACGATACGCGCAACAGCTACTTTTTTTTTACAAAACGGTGTAAATTTCAATTATTATCAAATGAAACCCGCTTTGTGAATGTGAACAAAAAAATCCTGAATCATCGGATTATTGAACATAAGTTACTATTCATGGCATTCATTAGTTTCCAAACTCTGAGATTACTTGCATAACCCAGTTCTTCTTCTACACCACTCGATGAATATTCATATTGGCTAGAACAATGGAAAAAAGTGCATTTGCGATGGAGAGATAAAAATGGCAACCAAATTTAATGTAGTTTGTTAGTGCAAAACAACGCATATACTAATTTGTTTACATTTTCCATGATAGCTCCATAGTTTATTTGAGTACAATCACTTTGGTCGACGTTCCATTTCCGATTTCAGCTCAGCTGAAGTACGATAACGAATAATGAAATTGAGAAAGGGAAATAACAATAAACAAAACAACGAAATGCGTCTAAGCCAAAGAAACTTGAGCAAAAAAATTACTTAATCGTTTGGATTGACTAGCAGAAGACGGAGTTTGCACCCACTCCTCAAGTAAACAAATAAGTAAATCAGCAAATGCTAAAATAGTTTGAAGTTAATACGATTCTAGATTCTCATTTTGATGATTTGTGGCCTTTGACTGACACTGATTGGTGACAAACGTTGATTGGTTGCACGCAGATCTCAAAAACGGTTTGAAATTATATTTTTTTCTACATTTTCTTATCTCATTATTTAATTTGGTGATATAAATATATATGAGGTTATGCAAACATAATGCGAGCTTTGATAAAATTGCTAATTTCAGACAATTTCGGACATTGACAGCGATATAATGAAATTATCGCCTGCCAGTGATAATGACAACGATAACGTTAGATGATTGCAATTTTATCAACAGTTTTCATCGTAACTGTCCTATCATTCTTTGGTGGAATATTTTTAGCACTACATGGTGTAGTTGTTATTTTTTTCCCAAGAAAATTTTAAGAGTCTTTAGGCCATTTTTTTGGACCGTAAATTAATTCATTTTAATGTCCATATTTTTTTATTTGAAATGAAGCAATTACGCCTAATTTCAAAAATGAAATAAAATCATGTTCTTGTAGTTCACTTTTGAGATAACTCAACAAAAAAAATTACACTTTTTTCGTTACCAATGTGAAATGATGTACGATGATCATTCACATTGAATGTACATACATAAATCACATAAGTGAAGAATACAATATCATCATATAAATTTATTCAATTATTTTTGACAATATTAAAATGATTTGGATACAAAAAGTATACTACGACTAAAACTACATTCCACGATAATAATTTGATGAGAAACATCAAATTAATTAAACTCCTTAAATTTACAAGCTTCAAGAACGCAGAGCGGAGCGAAGCGACGATCTGTGGTCTTGTTTTTCATTGCGAATAATTCAAACATGTCACTTTTATTCTGTTTTGTTGTACAAACGGAATAGATAGAAATTCAATGCTTTCAAATAACCTCTTGGACCTCTGTATTGTTCATTATTAATATTAAATTATAATTAGCATGTTTATTTTCTATTTTTTTTGCTGAGGCAAGTTAGACTCATTGTAGATAATAATAATTCATCGTTGTTGCCATCATTCTGTACCGCTAGCCGTAAATAAACCTGATATATTTTTGCTGCACGTCACACAAAACTGGTTCACTGATTCTACGAAAATTTATTACTCTAATTGGAGGATTGCGAATTTTTTTTGAGAAAAATGCTATTTCACAATCGATAGCAACTGTTCTCGAAACTTTGTTCAGTTGGCCAGTGGCCAGGAGTCCATTTGTTCAAGGTTCACACCATGAATAGTGTCCATGATTTGTCTGAAGTGGCTTATTGTTCGTTTATGGAACGATTCCAAACGATACTCGATAGATAACAGAGAAATTGCCACATCTTTTCAGCGTTGAGTGTCACCAAAATATATATGCCAACTATAAATGACGTTCGTCTCGAATTGAGGCCCCATGGAAGCGATGAAAAATAGAAAAAAAAGACAGAAAGTCGTTCGTTACTTACCGATAAAACATACGGTCGATTCCATGTGAGAATTTCGATGAGATATTACTGCACGTTTTCAATAAGCCAATCGAATCGGATTTTTGCGATTTGTCTGTGTCATCGTCATTCTCTATTGTTATGTTCTTTTCATTTGCGGCTTTTGCACTCATTTTCTCTTCCTAGTTTTATCTAATGCAAACAACAAATGAATCCCAATCAACGTTGCACTTGAATTGACACGCAAATCTTCTTTTATCGGTCAATTTGTTGGGGCTAATTGACGATACACTTTTCTCATTTCTCGAACAACAACAAACCAAAAAATTGTTCAAACTATAATAATTGACAATGCAATCAATTGGACATTTTACGATGAACAACACAACTAAACGACAACAAATGACATGAACTTGCACAATAAAAACAAAACGGTAATATGATTGTTGCCAAAATTCAACGTTTAACCAGATATGTTTCAACGTAGACAAGAATCAAATGTATTTACTGTCAAAAGTGTTTCGCACTATTCATTTCATTACAAAGGAAAACAACACAAATAACTGGTCGATGTCAAGTATGTTCGGTTGAACGGTTGTCACAATCACGTCATTTGATGATGATGATGATTATATTTTATTTTTTTTTGTTATTCTTAGCTCCTTCAATTGAATATCACTGATTGATTCAACTAAATCAACTCATTAGATTCTGGTTAGTTGCATTTTTGTGCGAAATCTCTGCAATTCTATTGATCTCGTGACTGGCCACTGCAATGCAATATATGAAACTTTGTATTATAATTTCTTTTTTGAATCGTAGTTACTCAATTTTATTTACATTTCAATTAAATTGCTTGGTGAATGTATTTTCTGAGTAATTTCATTCAAACAAAGTTGTTGAAACAATAGAATCGTTCGATTTCTGTGTGGTTTTCGAACGCGTTTGCTGTGATATAAACATAGTTTGACAATTATATGCACCTTTAGCGAGGCTTTCACGTCTACCTTAACGAAAATTCTAAACTCAACTGACGAATGAGTTACTGTCTCCCAATGACACATATTGTCATTCGGCTTTGTTTTTCCATACATACACTTAATTTTTTTTATACACAGCCAAACTCATACTCACACATAACTCGAAGCACACATCTGTTATGTTTTTCATCGTATCCGATAGTAAAATGCAGTATTTTGTATATATGCCTTGTGTTGTGGTCGCATATGCCGTCTCCATATATATGTATAGTATATACACACCATCAAACTGGTATGTTAGCGTACACGTCTCACACCATTACTATAACGCTACGTTAAATGTTGACTATTGAGCGGGTCGCATACGGATTTGTTCCACGCTATTTACATACATTTAACGGCATCGCTAGGTTCGATAACACAAATCGATGGATGTATCGTGACGGCGTCGACTTTTGGACCTGAACTAATAGCCATAGATGTGATTAACCTGATGATGCAAACGTAATTCATAGAACCAGTTTTCCTTGTCCATTGAAATTGGCCGACAAAGTTTTTTTTTCTGCTCTTATCTATTGAGTCTTTGGCGATTTGAAATATCGTACCTACGTTTCGGCGACGCAGCGAATAGTATTCCTTCAGGAGTTTGTGATGGTACATGTCGCATTTGAACACAGTGAATGGGCAATACATTGGAGCAGTGGACAGTATAAAAATTCTCTCATTCCTACCATCTCGATATTAACATTCCAAACATTCTTTTTCCGAGCAGAAACATATTGAGTATCTCAACTGTGAATTCTCACTCAATAAAGCTATCTTATACACTCTTCCTTACAATACTGCAAACTTTTTCCTCTGAAAATAAGTGAATATTTTCCGTTCGGCCATACAATCAACAAATATTTTCATTCTTTGTGGAATAGTTCAGTCTCAATTTCATTTTACGAACATTTCAATTATACGATAGAGATATGAACACCCGATAAAATGCTGCCATGATTGCTGTGTGTACTTTTTGAAATACATCAGATAAACAAATAACTGAAAATTATTCGACCTTAGCCTGAGCGTGAGCATGCAATCTCAGAATGGTGAAGTAAAAACACTTTGTTTTTAGTTTTTACTTACACATACAAAATTGTCAATATCACAAGCGCATACTCAAGCATACAATCCAATTAGAACACTGGTTCAATGTAAATCCTATGGAAAATTTAGTGTCTTGGCACTGATTTATTTGAGCTAATCGATTTTTTTACTTGAAAAATAGAAAATTTTCAATTTAAAAACAAGAAAAAAAATACAAATGTGTTTACCGTTTAAAAATCGAAATTATTTGCAAAACAAAAATGATATTGTTTTCATTTGAGGCATTCGAATGGTGCGCGTGTTTCGTGCAACAATTGTAATGTTTTCGGTAATTTGTGAGCTCTACCCATGCGATTTGAAAAGCCAAGCTAGCGCATGCCTGAGTATTAAAATGGCTGAAATGTCACCATCGTGCACGATGTTTTGGATTTTAAGGCGCTTGGTTCGTACACGCGCGTCGGATGTCCGCTGAAAAATAAACAATAACGCATGCAACACAATCGAAGCGACAGCCGAATCACACACATAACCACATCGACGTAACCAGAATTCCAAGCGTATTCCAACTGAAGCGCATCGGTGTAGCGACGGGTCGTTTATTGTTGTCGCTAACTATCGCAAGCGCTTCGTATCGCTATCGTTCGGAATTTTACCGCAGCGTCATCCGAGTGAAAAAAACCTAACAAAATGAAAAACCTCACAAAATAAAAAGCCAAACGTCAAAATTCTAGGAAAAATAATAAAAAAAAACGCAAGAGAGCGAAGAAGAAGAAGCAGGGTAGTAGTAAGAAAAAAATTTTGGTGTGTGTTCAGCAAACGCAAAGCGAAAAGCAAACGAAAACTACAAATAAGTGATAAAAAAACGAAAATATTATGCATAACTTTCGATTGAATTGTAACTACGATTGGAGAACAGTACGTTTGTGATTGAATGCAAGTGAAAATTTTATTCGGCCAACATGTGCATAAAGAGTGAGATAAAGCGAGAAAAATATTTGGAAATTGAATTGAAATTGTGCAAACACACATAGTTGTGAGTTAGTGTGGTGAAGGAATAGAAGAAAAGGAGAAAAAAAACATTTGGTTTCGGTCGTCACACGCATTTTCAGCAAAATATACCAAAATTCTTATTCATTTTCAATTCATTTGGGATGCGTGTAATTTATCATCGTCATTTTGTTTTGCATTTGTTTTCGAAATAAATTCTCGGTAGAAGAAATAAAATAAAATCGCAAACTTTTTTTTTGTTCGATTCCTTTGGTGTGTTTTGTTTTGAATTTGTTCATTTGAGAGAAACGAGATAGAAAAAAAAAAGTATAGCCACTAGCCTATTTATGTGGAGTGCGTGTGTGTATCGGTGTTGTGAATGTGTTTGTTGGTATGCGTTTTATGTGCTGGGTACACATACACCGACGACCCATTGATTCGTATCGAGTGTGAACGTGTTTCTATGTGTGTGTATGCGTGTGTGTATGTATGAGCGGACCGAATGTACAATATACACATTGAATTGATGAACGAAAAATACAGCACATGAAAAATAATGGCATCGCGAATGATGCGGAGTCGTAGTTGGCGAAAAGGTAAACACAGACGATTTTCTTATAAAATGCATTTCCTTCGTTAGTTTTTTGTTGAGCTCTTCACACTTTTTGTATCTTTTTCTCTGTCACTGTGCCTCTGTGTCTCCGCACACACTTGGCTGGCGAGGCACGATGCAAAATATTATTCTCTTCTTATTCGGTCGCTTGATTTGCGTGGTCAATACGATATTCCCTTCAGTCTTACAATTAATCGATAAAACGACAACGAATTAAAAACAACAAACAACAGCAGCAGCAGCACCAGCAGCTCGCTCATCGAAAAACATTGAACTATTTTTGAATAACATACAGCGCGACATAGAGAGATCGAGGGGGTAAGAGAGAGAGGGGGAGAGAAGGAGCGATCCACTGTGCGAGCAATAACAACAACAAAACATTTTTTACACTGTTTCGCGCACACACACACAACACCTTATGGACGATGGGCTAAAATCGAAAACAAAAACATTAACGTATAAACTTGTGATTCAAACCATTTTGCCATATGCTGTTGTGTTTGAATTGAGTGGATGGCAAAAATAAACGACATAAAACTACTTTCAATCATTTTTACTTGCGCAAAGAACGAAGAAGCAGAAGAAAAAAAATTGCGTTGTTTCTCAAACATTAGCTGTTTCATCGAAATTGACCCTTTTATTATTTCTTCTTGTCGTCGTCGTTGTCGTTGTCGTTGTCGTTGTCGTCGCTGTCTGTTTTGCTCGTATCAAAAAGGTCAATTGCAACACAGTTCGTGTATTGTCAGTGCGGTTCCATTCATAAAAATATTCAGCCAGTGTTCACACACGCGAGAGACACTGTGACAGATAATAATAATAGTAAATATTTTGTGCTGTTCGAGGAAGGCATGCACAAAAGTGAATATTGCGTTGCATTTTTGTAGTTGTTGCTCGAACAAAATAGTAAATGGGTTGGTTTGATGTTTTGTTTTTTTAGGCCATAGCAAAAATGAGGCGTTGGTGCCAAAAAAACAAGAGACTGCTGAGGAAATCTTCACAGAATTAAATTCAAAGCCAACAAGTGCAGCTAGACGTTTGGTGCTTCTGAATGGTTTCGTAAAAACGATCAATACACCATCCAAGGATGGCGATGTGTTCAGTGCATACACCACCGAGGATATACTGATAAGGTAAGCCTACTGATAGTGAATTTCATCACATCACATTGCGATTTCAATTTTGAATAGCGGAAAATAACCAGTTGTTTGTTTGAATTTCGTTGAAAAAAAAAACAGTTTAAGGACATCGATGATTCACGAATTCACACAAGTGAGGGCGGGCGTATTGCGTACATTGCGTTACACATTGAAAACATCACGTGATATTCAAATATTCAACGAATTGCAGCTACCGCAATTGCTGTGCCGTAGCATAGAGATTGGTGTGGATAATGAGGAGGAACGTGTTCAGGCATTCAAATTGGTTGGTTTATTTTTGTGTTGCGAAATCGGTTTATCTTCCCTTCTTCTTCTGAGCGAAGATTAGCGATTTTGCATCGTAAATAAAATTTGGATTATTTGACTAATGATGTCCGATTTTCTTTCCGTTGTTACTAGATACGAAAAATTCTGTCAATAGCGCCAGATATAATGAGCCCGCTGATAACAAGGTCATTGGTATCGTCAAGCGAATGTGGGATTGAAGATGGTGATCGTATGTTGCGTGCCTGTTTGGCGATACTGTGCGAAATAGGCGTTCTAAATCCCGTTTTGATGATTTTGTGCGGCGGAGTAAATGCAATAACACGAACCGTTCTAGAATGTCACAGTCCACGCATTGCTGAAAGTTTGTGCGGTGTTCTGTTGCATTTATTAGAATGGCCACACACACGGAATATCGCCGGTGTACGCTTAGACTGTTTAGCAGCTCCATACTGTGATTTCACCTATCGACTAGGCATCATGGATAAAAATAAGCATGCACGTGATCTACGATTCACTTGCAGCCGTTTGGCTTTGTTGTCCGTGCTGCGTAGTTGGCCGGGAACATTAGAATTTTGCGATCCAAATAAACCATCGGGCTTAAAAGCAATCGTCGATGTTTTGTATTTAAATCAGTTAGAAGTTAGAGTGAGTATTGCTTGGAAACCACCCTTGCAAACGAATGCAATTGCTAATTTTGTTTCTTTTTTCGGTGCAAACAGAAAGCAATTTTAGACTTGTTATATGAATTATTGTGGCTTCCGCAACCAGTTTGGACCGATGAATATTCGGTGGCTATAGCTGCCATTGATCCAGCTGATTATCAAGATGCATGGCGTCTGGGTGAGGGTTTTGTGGCAATGGAAGGACGACATATTTTACCAAGCCTTGCAAATCGTGTGTCAAATATTTCGGAGATTCATACATCCGTGCTACTGTACTGTTTCCTTGAAACTGGTCTATTGAACGCGCTTATCGGTGTAATTGTGTCCAGTGCGGCTTTTATATCAGTTCGAGCGACAATTCTAATTGGTATAGTCAACGCAACTCACTCAATTTCCAACCAAATCTCTCCCCGTGCAATCAGTCATCATTCAAAGCTAATTTGATTTTTCATCCATTTCATCCGCAGGCAAACTACTTCAATTAATGCATACACACCTTCCTGCCGACATATGTAATGCATCGTCAGCATTGCCTGCCTTAATAACGTACGCATCCCAAGGGAATCCACAAGCAACGGCTGCCGTATCAGCGCTACAACATTTACACAAAGTGTTACAAAATCGACCAGCATCGTGTAGTTTATTTTTAGATGCAATTATCCAAAGCGGAGGTAATTTTTCTATACATTTTATTTTCACAAAGAAAAAAGAAAAAAAAAGCAGATAAACAAAGTCGTTGGTTCGATCAATCGAATTTTTATTAATCCAAACTGTTTACATTGCAGCGATAATAAATTCACCGGTATTCAAAAGGGAAATTGAGTCCACTGAGATCAACATTAACCCGCCAATGTACGGTATATTAGAGCGTTCGCGATATGATTCGGTTGGTTCGTCGACGAGCGGTGAAGAGCCCAGTACACAGACACTGAATCGACGAGGCAGTATGAAAAAGAAAAAGTTCCTTCAATTCATCGATGGTCTGCGTCAAAGTGAGAATTTAATGAAAGAATCTAATGTGTTTGCCAACGATGATGGAATGACATGGGATTGGGATATTATTACGACTATTTTCACAAAGGTTTGTTTTGATTATTTAAAATTGGAAATGCACCGTATGCTAATTCTTTGTTTTTTTCTTTTCTTTAGACCAATACAAGCAATAAACTGGATATTAAATTCACTCGATTTTTACGACGTTTGATGCATTTCTATAAACCAAGCAGTAATCGATTTTCCCATCAAGACATTGGCCTCAACAGATACATACCATCTTACGTTACAGCCGGGATTAAAATGATTGATTGGCTTTTAAAGAATGCCGAAGTGAGTATTTTAGTAGTATTTTAGTATTTGCAACAAATCAGTGGCGTTCTTGTTTTGAAAACAAACTTAAGCCCACTCAATATCTGTCTGACTACCCACCCAAATGAACCATTTGCGGAGATATCCAGTGTACAGTGGAGCTGTGCGGAGTTCGGCGGAGATACCGTACATACGCTATACGTGTGAGCGAAACAGCACTCTTTGCTGTATTTACATTTCTATTGTTCAATACACATCTAAGTAGCCATGAGCGCACTGCTTTAGATATAGTGTATGTATGGCATCTCCGCCGAACTCCGCACAGCTCCGCTGTGCACTCAATTTCTCCGCAAATGGTTCACATGGGTAATTGACACATTTCTCTCGTTTCAGATGGAATCCATTCGCCTGTTGACCGATTACTTTTCGGATATCGATGCACAATTGCTGGCAATTTGCACGGCAAAAAGTGCTCACGATTGCCTATTCAGTCCACAGCATATGACCAGTACAATGTGCCAACTGTATTTCTTGTACATCGGCCGAATGTGCCGATCAAAAGTTGGAATCCAAATTCTAATCAACACACATATCTTTAAGCAGTAAGTTGTATTTTTAAATTTTAGGTAGAACAAAAGAACTTCAAATCAAATTGGATTTAACCCAAATGAATCGTTGATTTCGTTGCAGTTTAATTCAAATCGTAACCACGACGAATCATCCGTGTTACATTAAGTTGATTGTGTCTGGTTTGGACTATACAGTGGACGCATTGCCACGTCAAGTATTGGAAAAAGCTTTAACCGCATCGGAACGTAGTGCCGGTCGTTTGTATGCAACGCAATTTTTGTTGGTATTGCTTCGTGCGAAAATTCCCAATTTCGAAGTGTGGGGCTTGCCATTGTTGGTCAAACAAACCAGAGATAAGGAGCGCAAAGTCGTTTTGGCCGCATTGGAAATTCTCGACGAAGCGTGTCATGATAGAGTGAGTCATTTGTTTTTCTCGTTTGTTTTATGAATATTTTTAATACTCAACACTGTGTGCAAAAACGCTGATATTCGCAATTGTGATTATGACGTAATCAGAAATTGAAAATTTAATCTCGCACATAATTTTGAATGATTTACAAAGGGTTGACTTAACCGTGTTCCTTTCATTACAGACGTATTTAGAAGAGCTGGTTAGTTTGTGGCCTGACTTTGCTTCCAGAGGAGATAACGGAAAACTCCTTATGTCACGATATTATTCAATACCACGCGGTTTGAATCACATGAAAGCACGAATCCAACAGGAAATCGAAATTTGGCTCAATGTTTATAACAAACGGTATGTTCTGCTGGTTGAGGCCGATGCACATGCCCATTTAACATTGCACACACGCAGCGAAGACGGAACGTATAGTCGTCGAGCGTGTTCATCGCGTGAAGTATACATAGCACCGCCAAATATTCTACCGCATTTATACGGGCAGTTAGTTCAAACAACTCAGGTGAGCCGATCATTTTTTTATTATTGAAAAGTTTTTGAATGAAAACGTTTTTGGTTTAACGAAATGTTTGCTTTTCCAACACAAAAAATAGGGATTAGAAAACCTTCTGAAGTACGGACAATTGCCACAATTGGTGGACACACTGATCCAGGGAAAATGCAGCAATGAAACGGAAATATTGTTGCTAAAAGCAGCCGTTTGGGCTTTGGGCCATACATCAACCAGCACCGATGGAATTGAATACCTAATCGAAACGGCACCACAAGTATATGAGAAGTTTATCTTTCTAGTGAAACACTGTGAAGTGTATTCGGTACGAGCTGTTGCCTTACATGCACTGGGATTGGTTGGAACTACCAAAGCCGGCGCTGATACTCTATTCAAATATGGTAAATAGAAGCACACAATTGAATTTCTCTTAAGTAAGATCTGTTTACAATTTTCTGTATTTTCGGCTTTAGATTGGCTCTGTGTACGACATAATCGCGACACATTGTGGCCGGTGTGTGAAACTGAGGACTGGCTATCGAAACATTTGACACCGATTCGACATCATTTGGATAGTGTGCCTCCGTACAATTATACAGGAATTGATGAAAAAATCAGTGGAATCTTCGATGAGTCGGCCAGTTCATTTCTCCCTGAATCGGTCGATGTCGGCAAAACCGATACAACCAGCGAAGTGGATGGTGCCGTCCCGATTGCAGCCAAATCGAAAACACTTCCAGAATATGCATGCAAATATGCAATGATCAAACACAAACGATCGCTATCGGAATCGAAAACAACCGACGGAATTAGTTTAGCTTCGAATGCGAATCATTATGTTAGTCGAACACGCTTCAATTCTGGAACATCCGATTCGAATACGTCCGGTGTGAGCAGTTATGAATCAGTGTTTGGAATTGTAATGGGTGATTTGTGTAACAAAACATTGAGCCCCATTCCGAGCTCATCCAATTTGCTCGAAGTGAAAAAGCCAAACGAACATTTTCGTCGGATTTCATTGACCGGTGCACATTTCCGTGAAACAACCATAAGCCCGCAAGATGCACAGGGTTATGCTAAACTCCGATCAATTCGACGATATACACGGCCACAGCTATCGGAATCAGCTGCCGATGAACTGGCCGAAATTATCGATATCAATCAAGTTTATTCGAATCGATTGACAATTCCACAGAACTCGCATCGACGATTAAAAGTGCGCAGTTTGGATCGTCATAGTTGCTTCGATATGATCGATTCGGAAGGATCACATGATGTGTCCAGAGTGTCTGATATTGGATCGTATTGCCTGACTGGGCCCTATACACGCGGACCGTGTTACACTGGAATTTGTTTGCCGAAAAATGTTATGGATTTATTCCCGAGTGCACGATCGAATGGCACGTATGTCACACGTTGCATAAAGGATGCCGACTCAATGGAAATGGTTCTGAAGCACGGTGTGATAGCCGATTTCATAAGCGAATGTGATGAATATTCGGTGAGCAGTTTGTCGGATATTTCTTCGACGACTAGCAAACGATCAAAAATCAATGGAACAAAGCATAACCGAACTGCTTGCTTATTGTGTTGTCGAACAGCCCAGGGCATCAATCGTTTCAATTCGACGAATGCTGTGCCAAGCATCGGTGGAGCACCAAATTCCTCGGATATTGATTTGACCGGGAGCTCGAGCGCCCTGACGGCAACACCAAATAAAAAATTCCCTGAAAACGGAAACTTGGATACAACGTACAATTCGTCCGAAAGTCATTTGAGCGATGAAAATTACAATGATAAAATCCAAGAGACAATTTTGCGACACGTCCAGCGCATGGCGAATCCGGTGTGGAGCAAACAATCGAAATTGGCTTTGTTCAAGATCAAACAAAAGCATCCGCATTTCTTTCGAAATATGTGCCTGTATTCAGACATATGTGTTACACTGAGCCAGAACACTTATCGTTTTTCATCGCGCAAGTTTTTGCAAGAGATTTTCGTCGATGTTGATTACAGCACATTCTATGCGGACGCCTTTGAAGTCATCGCGAAAAAGAAGGCACTTTTAGAATTAAAATCCGTGGAAATGAACAACCATAATGATACAGATACAGACACCGTTGATGGTGTGATGCCAACGAGTGAATCTAATCAAAATGCAACATCGTCGCCAACAGCTCTGGTCGAAAAAGTCCGAAATCCACCACAAATCCTGAACATTACGACACATCCAATAAAAACACACATCCTGCGTTCACCGCCGCTAGCAAGTGTTTATGAAACAAGTCGTGAAAATTTAAGTGATTCACTTGGCACTCACACCAAATCGATATTGAATAGCACCCCAATTGGCAATGACATCGCAGAGAGTCGCCTGCAAACCGAAGTCGATATTGAAATCATACCATATTCATCGAACAATAAAATGAATTCAATCGGTGACGATGATAGCGATCATTCGCTCCACATTGGCAACGATCTTAGTGCACGGAATACCTTGTATCGAAATGATAATCGTGCATTGGCAACCCATTCACGTCCACGATTCAATACAATTCATTCAATAGATTTAAGCTGTACAAAGAACAAATTCCCAATAACCGATCGACGAAAAACATTCGATTTGTCCAGTTCAATATCAAATAGTGCCCTATACTCGCAACCAACTAGCATCACCAAATCATTGTCTGCATCAATCACATCCGCGCCCAGCATGAGCTTATACTGCGAAAAGCGGCTACAAACATCTAAATCAGAGGCTATTCTAACCAACAACAATAATTTCATGCGAAATTCACTAAATTTCAACAATCATAACAACACCACAACAACTGAAGCGCATAGCAAAAACAATCATCTGGCCAAATAATATATATTCCTATTTTTAATCACGCTCCCAATTTTCCTCAATTAAGAAAAAAATGAAGAAGAAGAGAAAACCAACCAACCAAACAAACAAGCAACAAACAAACAACATTGAAATAGGGTTCCTTTTTTTCTATATGTTCGACTGTAATTTTGTAATATATATAGAAATGATTTTAAACACGACTTTTAATATGTAAGAATGAGAGAAAAAAACACGTTAACACATATATGAAACAAAAAACCAACAAATCCTAATTCGTTATATGATGAATGCAGACTGTGTGACACACAGTTTCGTGAGCATTTTCCTTTTTTTTATTTTTCTTGCAAAAAAAAAACACCACTGCCAAGCAAAAAAAAATCGATTTGTTCTTACACAAAAACCATTTTTTTTACAGGAAACCAATGTTAACTATAAAATAATTCCAAAATTTTCAATGCAATTAGCTCAAAACGATTAAGATTTGTACAGAATAGATAACCAAAACTGTTTTTCTTCTTATTCTTTACTCTTCTTTTTTAAACTAGCTCCTTAAATTCTAAACATTTTAGTTTTTTAATGTATGAATTTTAATTATAATGGGCAAACTGAAAATGAATTTTCAGATTTATTTATGAATAGAGTTGACAGTTGTGTATAAAGTGAAATTTAATCAAACAAATTACTTTTTAAACGAATCAACGGAATAATCTAGTATTTAAATGGGCCAACATTTCTTCATTTTTTTTTCTTCCTCTGTCCCGAAAAATAAATTATTATCAGCACACATCAAATGGAACAGTAAATTCTGTTTCAGAATTTCATAGTGCTTTGCTTTGTTGAGAAAGAAAAAGAAAGGAATTTTTTTAAACGTGTAAAGTTTTTTCTTTCAAATTCAACTTCAATGGGAAATCAAACAAAAAAAAACCTATTTTCTCTGGGTATAAATTTAAAATTCATTGGAACAATTGTTCAAAACAATTCGTTTGGAGAAAAAAAATAATGGAAATTGTACATTGTAAATAAAGCATATTATTATTTAAAAGTGGTCTTTTCTTGCATGTATGAACTTCTTTTCGACAAAATATCATTCAGATTTTAAAAAAATTCAGGATTTTAATGTGAACAATTGATTGATGGTAGTGCATCAACCGCAAAATACTTTTTGCTGATTTTTAATTGCCCTGGAATTCAATTTCTCTTATTTTCTTGTTTCATGATGCCCTATCTCTTCTTTTGTTGTTCTGCGTTTGTATATAGAAAATAAATATATATATTTAAATCTAAATCCCAACAGACAATGGCGAAGTTCTTCTGAACATGATTAAATGTTCAGTTAAATCAAATCGACGTCAATTAGTTGATTTTCTTGTTCATTTCACAAGAATTTAGTATTGTAACACTGTTATTGATTCAGCTGTATGACCCATTTCCACACAAAAATGGCGTTTTCTTCGCATTCGATTAAGGAGGGTTAAGTACGATTTGTATTTGAATACAAGATAGTTTTTTTTTCATTAAAACGAACAAATGGAATCAATCCTAAGCAAAGATGAATCGCATTTGATTAAATGGGCAAACAGCTTATCACAACACATTGTGAGCGACGTACTCACTGAGTGTATATTGATAAAGTGTTATTGCTAAAAAGTTGAAACAGTCGAACCGAACCGTCCATCATGTTTTCACACATTTATAGAATATTTTACCATCGGTTCTACCAATACTCGTTCATTGAACGATAACCCCCTCCAAAAAAAATTAAATGTGTATCAATTAGTTACGTTTGAAGTCATGTTATCGTGTGTCCGACGCCATCTCCGTGCACTCGTAGTCGATTCGTTCACACTTGTTGCCTAGTTAGTTGCATAGTGACAATCAACTGATGAACTACGTTCCGTGCTACACGCACTTGAATCGTCCACAGTTGAATTAATTTCAATGTTGAATTAATATTACGAATAAATTCTTTTGACAAAAATTACGTAAAATATCGTTGATGGTTGTGTAAAGTGAATACACAAATTAACCAACTCAGAAAAAAAGAGAAGAAACCAATTGAATGGTCTTTGACGTTTCCAGTGTGAGCTCAAAGATACATTTCAAGGCGAGTACAGCATTTTGTCCGTGAATAAACACCATATATCGAGAGTGTTGACTAGAATTTTCGATCGAACACCAATTCAAGTGAAAGAAACAAAGAAGTAGAAAAAATGAGCCCTCCAGCGATTGTCAGCAAAGAAATTCCAGACATTGAAGTAAGACACTTTTATCAACATACTTTGTTATCGTTCAAGTTGTGTCAATAAAAGTCCTCTGATTGTCAATTAGTTTTTGAAAATTGATGAACTTTTTGACCTCGTATATGATAATCGTCGAAATGTTTGTTGGTTTCGTTGAATGTTGTTTACAAAAGTGAAAGTTCGAATGGGACAAGTCCAAACAGCGGTAGCACAACACATTTCCGCGTTTATTTTCGGTTTCATTCATGTTTTATTTGGTCATAGTTCTTATTCAAGGTTTATGTTTCGATTTTTGAACAAAAAAAACTCTTTCAAAAGCGCTTCAAAAGTTTCGTTCCACGTATTATATTTGTTCAAAGTGAATATTTGAATGACTGACCAAACTATTGCTTACTTGAATATGTGCGCAGTTTTCAATCAGCTGTCATGCGCAATTAGCTGAAAGAAACTTTCCATACGTACGAAACACAAGCGCATTTGCCAATTTTAATGATTAAAAAATAATTGAAAAAACATTCGTTGAGTTAACTTGAACTTAACGTACGACTTAATGCACCGATGGTCACCAGCCTGGATTTTTATGGACGGTTATCAATTCGATGACTATCTCATCAAATTTTCTCATTAGTAACGAAGGGATTGACACGGACAGCCTGTTTTCTTGAACATTTCTCAACTTTCGTTTTCTTATAGCGATAATAAGATAATCAATTCGAGTGTTGATAACATGTGTGTATTATTTTCGACCCCAAAATTAAATGATTTACAAACGCATTGATCGCGATGAAAAAAACAACACTTGAAAAACACAAGCCATATCTCCATAATTATTTTTTTTTCTAAAAAATGATTGAAAGTGGCTTAGATAAAAATAATCGATTATGACATTTTAATCATAATACTGTGACTGTTTTACTGCTTCATTCAATTCAGTATTGAACAAATTTGTTAATCATATTTTATCGATTATCTTTCCATGCATAGAATCTTCTGTCATTGAATCCGCGTGTTCAGACCAAAGGATCGCTGGTACCAACATCGGTGACGAAAAAAGAGAAAAAACTATGGAAACGTAACGCGGACCGTAGTTGCGGTGTAAGTAAACCGGTTTTAAACGCCGGAAATATTTTAACTTTGTTGAAACTCATCAAAATTCTTTTGAAAAAAGAAACAACAACAACAACAACAATGATAACAACAATGACAAAAATCTTATTTTCTTCTCTTGAATAGTCTTGCTCAAGCCTCCAAAACGATTTTTCCGATATCAAACATACAACTCTCTCGGAACGTGCCGCTCTTCGTGAAGCCGCTCGTTGTTTGAAATGTGCCGATGCACCATGCCAAAAATCCTGTCCAACGCAATTAGACATTAAGAGTTTCATCACCAGCATTGCCAATAAAAATTACTATGGCGCTGCTAAGGCCATTTTTTCGGACAATCCATTGGGTTTGACTTGCGGTATGGTTTGCCCGACTTCAGACTTGTGCGTTGGTGGCTGTAATCTAGCAGCTACGGAAGAGGGTGCTATTAATATTGGTGGGCTCCAGCAATATGCCACGGATGTGTTCAAGCAGATGGGCATTCGCCAAACGGTTTCACCCAATCAACCACCGCTTAAGGATGATCAAAAGAAAATTGTGCTCCTTGGCGGCGGACCGGCTTCATTGTCATGCGCTACTTTCTTGGGCCGTTTGGGATACAAAAACATCACTGTTTACGAGAAGCGAAACGCTTTGGGTGGATTGAGTTCTTTCGAAATCCCACAATACCGTTTGCCAATGGATGTCGTTGACTTTGAAATCAATTTGGTGAAAGATCTTGGGGTTCGCTTCGAAACTGGACGCGCATTGTCTACATCTGATATTACACTGAACGGTTTGATCAAGGATGGTGCTGATGCGGTTTTCTTGGGCATTGGTTTGCCACAACCAATTGTGAACCCAATTTTCAAGGGACTCACACCCGATCACGGTTTCTATACATCCAAAGACTTTTTGCCCATCGTTTCGGAAGGCAGCAAACCAGGATTGTGCGCATGTAAAGTAAACAAGTTGCCACAATTGCACGGAAATGTTATTGTACTGGGCGCTGGTGATACAGCATTCGATTGTGCAACGTCAGCGTTGCGTTGTGGAGCACGTAAAGTGTTTGTGGTTTTCCGCAGAGGTACCACCAATATTCGTGCCGTTCCCGAAGAAGTCGAACTGGCCAGAGAGGAGAAATGTGAATTCATTCCATTTATGACGCCAACCAAAGTCAATGTTTCAAACGATCGCGTGAGTAGCTTTATTGAAGATTCAATTGAATTCCGAACTATTCTTCAACTTATTGTTTTCTATGCATGTAGATTGAGTCCATCGAGCTCTGCCGTAACGAACAAAATGAAAATGGTCAATGGGTTGAAGATCACGACCAAATCACCAAACTTAAAGCCAACTTTATCATTTCTGCTTTCGGTTCGGTTTTGAGTCAAAAAGATGGTAAATATTTCCCATAGAAAAATTCAAGTCAAAATAGAGAACATTTGAGCTAACGAGACGCTAAGAAAAATCTCCTCTTTCAAAATTTAGTTCTAGATGCTTTGTCACCAATCCAACTGAATGAATGGAATTTGCCCAAAGTTAACTTAACAACGTATCAAACATCGTTGCCGCAGGTATTTTGTGGTGGAGATTTGGCTGGTGTTGCAAACACAACCGTTGAATCCGTTAACGATGGTAAAACTGCTGCTTGGTATATGCACTGCTATCTTCAGGTATGCAAGAGCATTAATTTCTTGAAATTGATTGAGTATTAAAACTGTCTTTTGTTACACAGAATTTGCCATTCGACACACCAGTCGAGTTGCCATTGTTCCACAGTCCAATCGATGATGTTGATATTTCAGTTGAAATGTGTGGCTTGAAGTTTGAAAATCCATACGGTTTGGCTTCCGCTCCACCAACAACTGCTTCAGCTATGATTCGCCGTTCGTTCGAACAAGGCTGGGGATTTGCTGTCACAAAAACATTTGCTCTTGACAAAGATATGGTTACAAATGTATCGCCACGAATTATTCGAGGTACTACATCGGGTCACTTGTACGGTCCACAACAAGGCGCTTTCCTTAACATTGAATTGATTTCCGAAAAGTGCTGTGATTATTGGCTCACAAGCATTGCTGAATTGCGTCGTGATTTCCCAACGAAAATCCTCATTGCCAGTATCATGTGCACGTATAACAAGGACGACTGGACGGAATTGGCACAGAAAGCCGAACGGGCCGGTGCTCATGCGTTGGAATTGAATCTGTCGTGTCCGCATGGAATGGGAGAATCGGGCATGGGTCTCGCTTGCGGTCAAGATCCTGAACTCGTTTACAACATCTCACTTTGGGTTCGTGCCGCCGTCAAAATTCCATTCTTCGTCAAACTCACACCAAACATCACCGACATTGTATCGATTGCCAAAGCAGCTCATAAAGGTATGAAATGTTTGAAAATAGACAAATTCCAAAAACCAATAGAATATTCTGGCAATATCAAAGGATAACGTATTATAAATGATAAAAAAAAATCGTATATTAAATAGGTAAAGCCGATGGAGTCTCCGCTATCAACACTGTTAGCGGTTTAATGTCATTGAACGCAAATGGCACACCTTGGCCAGCAATCGGTGATGAGAAACGAACAACTTACGGAGGAGTCTCAGGAAATGCCACACGACCAATGGCGCTCAAAGCCATTACAGCCATTGGAAATCAACTTCCAGGATTCCCCATTCTAGGTATTGGTGGTGTTGACTCAGCTGATGTTGCACTGCAATTTTTACAAGGAGGAGCATCTGTACTACAAGTGAGTATTTGCTAATAATAATTTATCCATATTGAACTAAAATCACGATCATTCAAATCAACAAAACAAAAATTGTGTTTAATTATCGTTCCTCTTAGGTTTGTTCGGCTGTTCAAAATCAAGATTTTACCGTTGTTCAAGATTACATCACTGGCTTGAAGGCATTGTTATACTTGAAATCAAACCCACCACCAAATCAACCACATTTGTGGAGTGGACAATCACCACCACCTTTCAAACACCAAAAAGGAAAACCGGTTGTTCCACTCGTTGGAGAAGATGGACTGGTAACTATCTTCAAATTCTCAATTGAAATCATTTCGACAAATAGCAGACGTTTATTTGAGGTTTTTTTCATTCGTGATTTCAGCCCTTGGTTAACTTTGGATTGCAAAAGAAAGAACGCGAAGAGAAAATATCGCAATTGATGAAGGAAAAGGGACCAATTTGGAAACTGAACGCAAATGACGATGATCTTCCCGCAAACGACTCAAACAGTGTGAATGGCACGAACGGTGCGAGAAATGGCTACAATCCAGCGCCAGCCTTGAAAGATGTGATTGGAGCATCTCTACGTTACGTCGGTCCCTACAAAAAACTTGATAACAAAAAACAAGTCGTTGCACTGATAGATGATGTAATTATTTATCTAATTCCAATCACTTGCTTTGACATTTTAATCTAATTTTATGTGCATTTTCTTTGTTCCGAAGGATTTATGTATCAACTGTGGCAAATGTTACATGGCATGTGCTGACTCAGGTTATCAAGCCATTGAATTTGATGCGAAAACACATCGTGCTCACGTCACCGACGACTGTACTGGTTGCACATTGTGTTTGTCAGTTTGCCCAATCATCGACTGTATTGAGTAATGACATAATCTCAATTTGACAAAAAAAAAACAAATTTTTCAATATTTCTCAAACGAATTTTTTCTATCTATTTCGACAGTATGGTACCGAAGACTATTCCACATGTCATCAAACGTGGTAAACCCGACACGGTTCTGGTTCACGCTTTGCTTCCAAGTCAGTAGGAAATACACATTTTATAAAGGGAATCACACATATCGAGATAAATGCTGGACTGGACATCAACAACAAAAATTAAACACTTTAAGCGTAAAACTGTAAAATTGTTTATTCGAAACACTTTGATTTATTGCACAAATAAATGGGCCATGATGTCACCAATTTTGAGTTGTATTCATTTGTGTCTGGAATATCGCTGTATTTTGGAACTGTAATCAGCTGTTTTCAAGCACGCAAAAAGTTCATGACTGCAGCAAGCACTGAAAATATCATAATCTCAGTGCCCGTATTGTACTTGACTCCGGAATTACAGTAGTCAGCATGGCATAGATAAGCTTCGGCATCTTTAGCTTCTGTTAGGTTGTCCCGTTTGTTGCAGCTACGAACATAGATCCATTTGTCATTTACTAAAAATGTACCAATAAAACATTAACACTTGGAATTGGATAGAATTAGAGTGATTTCTGTGAACTTGCTCAGATATTTGGCTTTTCGGCAGTGTAAAATTGGAATGATGCGATTGGGATCCATTGAACAATCATACATAAATGCTGGGTCCCCATTGAAATTTTTATCCTCACATCTCTTGTCATGTTCTGATGTGCAGACGTAACATTTAATAGCGATTCCTAATCACGTGAAAATTTGAATAAATAATGGCTGAATTGATTTAATTTACCTTATTTGGATGCATACCTTCGTCTATGAAGAGAAAGATGGCCAATGCAACAAAGAGCAGACGAATCATATGGAATTTTTTCTAACTACGCTTTCAATAATTTATTCACAATTTCACTCCAATGTGTGTTCTTTTCGGGACGGTCATTCGACATCAATTGATTTTTAATCGAAAGCAGTATTTTTACAGCTGTATTCTGCAATGTATTCAGATTATCACGGAGTTATCTGGCGGAAAGTGCGTCACATGAAGCGATTAGTGCAATCATATTGTATTGGTTGACAGTAACGAATGGGATTTTTTGTGCAATTTGGTCGCGATCATGTTTTATAAATCATCAGTGCACTTTGAATAAATAATCACAACTCTGACCGATAACAATTCAGGCAAATTGCTTCTTTCAGCCCATTTTGTGATATCAAAAAAATACACTCTCGAGATTCTAATGGCCTCGTTCATACTATGCACTGCATAGTTTCCCAGCTTTGTCCCACTCATACGCTGCCTCAGCTTATACCAGCTCATACGCCTCTCACGGACATTTCGCTCAATTGGCTAATTTGGGATGGTAAATTGATACATTTCACTTGAGTGTCTTGGATTTTCATTGTTTCGCTCTTGTCATTTGTTCTATAGAAAGAATTAGAAAACCCGTATTTATTGAATAAAATCTCCGAATTCAAATCATAGCTTGCTCGGTGTCTTCTTTATTGAAAATATTTTTCAGCTGAAAAAGCAAATCTTGGCTGATATAATTGTGTCAATTGAATTGAAACGATCACATACACGGATATAAAATACTGTCAATCATGTACTTTATCGAAATAATTTTCATGAAATAAAAGTTCACTCCAGTCGATTATTTGTGACGTACTAAAGCGAAACAATATTCAGATTAAATCCGACGTATAAACAGTAAAATGAATCAGCCTGTGGCAGAGCCATTGCTTCAAATGAATGGAGTCATATTAAGTGAAATAAAAATCATTTATTGACGAATTAGTTATTCCAATCAGTCATACCATGGTTCCTGTGGAAAATTAACCCTTCTTTTTGAAAATTTTGCGAAAAAAACGCCATTAAGAGTAGTTCATTGTAAAAAATTGACTAAATTCAAAAGAATATCTCTTTGCATTTTGTGAAAGCACAAAATCAAATAGATTCTACTACTTGCGAAAAAGGAACTTCCCGGACAGTACGGTATTTGTTATCAATTGTCTGTTTCCAAAAATTCGGTTCGATTTTTGTTTTTGTAGAAACTTCTGAATCGTAATTGTATTGATGATAATGGCATTTGCTGGCATATTGATTCATTTACTCATTGAAGTGTATGAAGATAATGCTTCTATTCATTATCAATCGTGGTATTCCGATATTCACATCACAAACAGAATTCCCAGGAGTTAGTTTTTTATCTCAATATATGCGAGAATATTTATTATTTCCTGTATAAACCAGTCAAAATCCAAAACCTCGATTGCAGTTGCATGAAATCTCGAATAATATTCTGGTTTTATTTCGTATGCATGCGATATAATAATTGAAACGTTATTAAATTTGAGGAAAATTGACAAGCACGAAACGGAAATTGGTTTGTAAATTCATTTCAAATAGAAACACATTCCACATGGAGCTTTATCAACATGATCCAAAAAAACATCAGCAACTATAAAAGGGGCTGCAAATAGAACTTTTTAACCAGTCGTTCAATTACGAAATCCCAAAGAAGATGAGCTCGTTTTCCATCATCTTAGCCGTTTGTTTTTTAGTTTACAACAATGTAATCGTTTCCAAAACGGAGATAATACCCGAAAGAGTTGAAATTTTGAACTCAACTTACGTTGAAGGCCTCTATAATATTTCACGAAGCAGAATAACTAGGTTCAATCGAACAACTTATGTAGTCGAAGTCATATTTGAATCAATGGTAGATGTGACGAATGACTACCATGTGCAGCTTTCACTCTACTATAGTCGCTTCAAAAATACCCAGTATAGACGAATGCCGTTATTTCTACCAACTATTTCATTATGTGAATTTCTTGATAAATATTTTAAAAATTCCGTATTGAAAGAAATTGAATCTAACTCAAACATACCACAATATGAAACTGTGGAATCGTTATGCCCGCTCAAAAAGGTAACCATTTCAAATTATTCGACAAAAATTTACTCTAAAAATAGATTCAATTCCGATGAAATAAAATCTATAGGGTCGATATTGGCTGAAAAACTACGCAATTGAACCAAATAAATCTCCTGTCGTTCTACCAGATGGTTATTGGAAGGCACAAGCCAATATCTATTACAATCGCGACATCATTTTCGCTGGAAGTTTTCACTTACAATCAATTTGATCCAACTATTTTTCAATGGGGAACTTTGATAGAAGAATTTTTTCTGGAATTTGGTGTAGGGCTTGTTTGATATATTCACACACACACACACACGCATATTTTTATCACTAGAAATTGTATTTGTTTTTGTTTGAAAAGGTTTTACTATTTTTTAAATTTTACTTTTTGAAAAATTACTTAATTGAAATAAATATTGAAAATTGTGTGCTGAAGGTCAAACCGTCTCTTTCTGTTCATTGTATGCCCTAAAAAGTACCTAAAATGTCAATAAAACTATTTTATCAGCAATTAAGTCTAGAAAGCATATGCATATTAATATTAATATTTCTTTGTAAAAAAGCCTTTTTTTCATGTAAAATGGATTTTCATTTGGATTTTAAAATGAATTCCGTAGAAGGTCGTAGATGTTAAAATAATTAAATTTCTTTTCAACGCAATCCCATACAACTATAGATATTCAGCTACATAGTTATAATTGATATTGTTTGTCATTGCTACGACATTGAAAAACATTCAACGGAAATTGGTTTATATACCAATTTGAAGTAGAAAATGCAATTATTATTTAATTTGGATTTTATATCATGAAGCAGGAGCCAATAAAGGTTATTTTGGCCAATAAATAAGGCGATTTTCATTCTTTTACAATTAATTAAACTGGTTTTTCAAATATACTGGAATTTAGATTTTGAGAAAATGTCGGGGTCGATATTGGTTGAAAAATATGGCAGTTGATGGCAATTAACTTTCGGCATTGGAAAGCATAAAGGGCATTTATCTATCATGAAAGTTCAGTCTCTTCAATCGATTTCCTCAAAATTTGGCTTTGATTTTAAATGTGGCCGAAAGTACAACACAACAATCATGCTTCAGGTTTATTTTGAGCATTCTGGCATATACATATGAACGTGTACAGTGTACGCTGTACAATGTACAGTACATGCACAACTTAGATAATTCAATATCAATGAATCTCTCACAATCAATCAATCATAAACAGAAAAATTATTATCTCAACATCTGTAGTTCGAGATTTACAACAAAATGACCGAAAATCTATTTTCAACAATCTAAAATACTATATGATGAATAATTGAGCAATGAGATAAAAACATTCACGGATGTGGACTTGTGAACCAATTTAATAAATTAGAGTTGCATTTATATCGCACTTATTTTATACCATAAACTAGGATCAAACGAAGGTTATTTTGATCGATAAAATTGTTTTTTATGGGTAGTATGTAACTATAAAAGAACCAAATCAAATATTCCAGTCAAGAGTTCAAATACCAAATTCAACATGGGACCAATATCTGTCCTCCTGTCGATTTGTTTGCTAACTAATTGTGCCATCGTTTCAACAATAGAGATAATACTGGAGAGAGCTGAAATTGTAAACTCAACCTACATTGAAGGCCGCTACAATGTTTCACGTTGCAGAATAACTAGGTTCAATCGGACAACATACGTATTTGAGACAGAATTCGAACTGATGGTGGATTTGAATAACGATTATTATTTTCTATTGAGCTATCATTACAACCGCTTGTCAAACAATCAGTATACTAAAATGCCGTTCCAATTACCGAAAATGACGATATGTCAACTTTTTGAGAAATTTTATAAGCCTTACATGATGAAAGACATAGAGACCATCTCCAATTTTCCACAATATAAATCAACTGAACCTGTTTGTCCTATTAAAAAGGTATTTATTTTCTTCAGACATTCAACATACTACATGGTAATAAATTTCAATGAAAATCAGGGTCGATATTGGTTGAAAAACTACACAATGGATCCAAACAAACTTCCAGCATCTCTGCCATTCGATGGCCATTGGAAAGGGGAAGCGATTATCTACTACAAAGGTGCAGTCTTTTTTGCACTAAATATATACTTTCAAGTAATCAGGTCAACGTACGGATTGGATATTTAAAATCTCTTGAAAATTCAATTCGAAAATCATTATTTGAAAATTTTAACAATATTTTTCATGTGTGTATAAGAACAATTTTCGGCTGGTGTTGGTAGGTATTATTTTGAATTTTTACAACATATAACGAAAACTTGTATCGAAATACATAGGACGTTTACAATGGAACAAAAGATATTTGAATTGAAATCCATATAAAGAATTTAGGATATTCCGGAAACTATCATTTTTAATTAGTCGCTCTTGTTTGCTTAATGTGTGGTGAATTATTAAAATAAATTGCACTACAACACGGAAAGTTGAATAGAAAATGGTTTTGCATTAAATTAATCTGAAATCAATACGACTAAATGTGTTGTTATTCAAAAGGCGCAGTAAAATATTGGGCCTACAGCGTTTTATCGGAATTATGAGCTAGAATTCATATCTGAATATAATAATAATTCATTGTGCTTATTCGCGTGCTGATTCTCTCTCAGCGAGGTCAAATAATTTCTCCACGTTTAATTCAAATATCATTTGTAATAAAATGATGTCATTGAAGCATTTCCGAGGAAAAAGATGTCGAAAACACAAGCGAATTACTTACATGAGTCGAGCCAATTTGATATTCAAACCAAACAACAAAAAGGCGAAAATCTTACGGCTTTTTTATTCATTTTGTGAAGCAACGAAATTGAATGGATTCTACTACTTACGAAAGCATAAAACATTCGGCAAAATAAGGTAAACGATAACTACCGTTTTTTTGGCGAACAAATTTACTATTTGAAACATTTCTTAAGAAAAATTAGTTGAACTTCTTAAAATTGCAGAGTGTTTTGGATTTTTGTTCCGTTGGTATTGTTGGCCTTTGCTGGTGTATTGATCCATTTCTGCTCGCTGACGTGTATTTTGATAATTCAACACTAATTACACGGGGAAAGCAAATTTTTACAACGCAAACTAACTTTCCATCGGTTACTATATGTCCAAAAGATCCAGTTCTTCATTCAAAAATTACACGTCTGGTTGGAAAATCGTAAGCAATCCATAGCAAAAGAGTTTCCATTTCGTTTTTGTTCATAAAATTTTCATAATTTTCATTCATTCCTCAGAATAAGTTTCCTATTTTAAAATTTAATAAGATTTTTTTTTAGAAAAATTCCATCAAAATTCACTCGAATAAACACCGAAGATGCACTGAAGTCGCTAACTGGATTTACGCGAAACACTTACTCGGTATCTGCTGAAAATGTCCAAGTCTTAGAACAATTTTCAGAGATCAATAATTTCTCGTTGTCAGATATCTTAAACCACGTAGGCATGGTGAATGATGAAACTTTAAATCATTTCAGATGTACATCTGTAAAAAAACCGAAATCAATGATTTTTTTTCTTCTTAGGATTGTGCTGATTTTATGCAAAAATATCGTTATGGTACAGAGATGTATGATTGTCGCCCTGGAAATTGTCCTGGTTGGGAGAGATTAGCGACGATCCATGGGATGTGTTGTACCTTTAACTATCATCCATTTGCTAAAGTAAATGCCAGTGTGTTGAATCAAGCGGGCAAATTCGGTGGTATGAATATTTTCTTCTCTGGAAAAGAGGCCGCAGATGGGGGTGTCACTTTGATTATTACACAACCTGGATCATTTATAACTCATTTGGCTGAACTATTTACGTTAATACCTGGATTCGAGAACTATTTTCGTTTTTATGTTACCCATAACATTTACTCATCCCATTATGTTAATCTCCCGGTACATCTTCGCCGTTGTTTTTTAGTCTCCGATGGTGAGTCATCTCTGGTCTTTCGAACACGTTGCTTGCTTGTGTGTGCTGCAAAAAATGTGCACGAAAAATGCAATTGCCATCCATATCACCTACCGACCATCAAACCAGAACATAAATCAATTCGAAGTTTTACCGTAACGGATTTTTTGTGTATCCGATACAAAGCAGGTAAAATGAAATATAGCAACGGAAATCATCATTATGCTAATGTGATTTATCCAAATTTAGGCATATGGGATGTTTCATGTGATCACTGTTTGCCAATGTGTGATTGGTTGAAGTTTCGCATCACAAGCTCTACGAGCGTTTTCGAGTACAAGTCATCGAAAGGCACTCTAGACATTTAGTTAGTCAGAGGTTAATTAGGAAACAAAAATCATTCAATTAAACTATCGGTTGTTTCGTTTACAGCAAGAACATAAACGAAAGCGAGCGCCCATTTACAGCAATTATATTCACAAACGGTGATGGTATATGAACGACATGCTCGATACAATTGGATCGATTTGCTGTGTAAGTATGCGTCGATGAGAAACAAAATACATATCTTAATTGTTGGCTATGTTTCATTTTGTGACGAATGAATGACAGCTATTGTTCGATTTGTTCCAGCAAATCTTGGTGGCATTTTGAATTTGACGCTCGGAATCAGTTTGATCACGTTCTGTGAGTTGATTTATTACTTTGTGTATAAATTGCTGAAAATCATTTGTCGCGTCGAACCAAATCGAATGTCATCTAAAGTGATATAATCCACCGAATTCGACTTGAATCCATTAGCCACACGCCTATTGTTGTTTCATTATAATTTTTGGAATATCACCGAAAATCGACCACAACCGATTTTCTACCATTCATTATTCTGTTCTTTACTTTAAAAAGACGGACAGAATATTTTCCAAATAAAGTATGATGCTAACAACCCATTAATCTTATTCGGCTTTTTAAACAACCACAATCTGAATCGCAAAAAAAATACACTTTACGAAAGAAAAAAGTTGAAACTTGTTCTTAAATCACACTTCCAACGATCTCAAAGCGGCGTATAATAGATATCTATACGATTAAATGTTACCGACCGGTTCTGTGTTTCTCTTTTTTTGTGTATTTTTTTGTGTGTGTGTTCAAATGCTCTCTTTAACCTTGAAGAACTGTCCGTCCAGCTACAGCAGAGTACATTTCCAGCAGCGTGTAAACAAATTATACGCAGACCAAAGTTATGAATGAGAAAGAGAACCGAGATGATGTTACGTAAGTGTTGTGCGAACCAGCACGATCGCATAAGAATACAAAATTACGTCAACGCACACGATCAAATCAAGCTAACTTGCATTGGTCTGTCCGACAAGAGCGAGATGTTTGTCGAATAGAATGGATTTATGCAAATTAATACGCCCAAGTTTGATTTTCGTCTTTAATTCTTTTGATTCTTTTTTTTTTGTTCCTGGTAACAACACAAAACGCTATCAACTAAAATTATATTCTGATTCACAGTTGCGCACAACTTTATAAACGCAATAATTTAATGAATAAAAACGATGTAAACAATAGCATGACAAGCATGGCTGCTGGTCGATGACTGTCGGCCGAATTGCACAGGTTTGTGTTGCAGAAATGGTATTGCGCATTCTTTATTTGCAAATTATCTTTGATGTTACAACCACGAAGGTACACCCATCGATCACCATCTGAAATGGAATAAATCATTTATTTGAATTTATTCTATTTTAATCTTTCTTTCGTTTGCATTTTTTTGTTTCTATTTTTAGCTTGGTAATTGCTGTCAGGAAATATGTAATTTTGTTTACCTTTGTATTTAATCTTTCGACAGTATTCGATGGGCGTTATATCGTATACTTGTTGTTGCGCACAATCGATCGAGCGGGTGGAACTGTTGCTGAATCCATCAGAACAACTTGGGCTGATCAATGAGGAACATTCATAGCATCTAATAGCATCACCTGAAAATAACATTCAAATTAGCACCACAAGTGGTATTTTTGTTTTATTATCGGTTTTGTTTGTTTTTCTTCCATTTTTCAACATACTTTATTTGTCCATATTACTATGGTTACAATACTTGTTGCATTCATTATTGCTAACACTCCTAATTTAATTATTAAAGAACAAAATTTTATATCACGTTTTCTTAATCTCATCAAAAACCGCATTTGCGGTTCATAAATTCAACTTACTCGGTTGCAATAGCACCAAAATGCCCAATACAATTACTGTCTCTCGAATCATAGTTGCAAAATATTTCAAAACAAATGTTTAACGCGTGTCTGTCCAACGCAAATACTCGTTTTCGACTGAGCATTAGATTCAACTTTCCAGTTGGTATATAATCCGCCACAACGCCAAACCAACGTATTGCTCAATTTGGTTTCGTATGTTAATGAACAGTTGTTTACGTTCTGAGGAACGAATGGAAAGATCCAAACAAAAAATATGACTTTTTTTCGCATCGATCGGCCGGTTTGTTCGCTAAAATAAAAGACAAAATGTGCGATCTGCGATAATCATCCTGAAAGTATAAACACCAAAAAATAAATATTTTATTACAATGACATCACCGCGCGCGAGAATCGCTGAACCAAGAACGATTTGTTTTGTTTGTGTAATAAAACAAAAGTAGCTACAGAAGCGCGCAGAAAACACACCTTCCACATTCCAGCCAATCCATATTCCAATACATTTGAATACTCCCTCCACATTTTTTTTTCTTCCACAACGACTATCGCTTAGTCGTTGAACGTACTCCAGCATAAATGCACCATTTGACATCTCAGTATGACATTTGTTTGTTTACGAATTTGATGTGAAACCCAAAAGCGTCAGTCGGCAATTCTGAAGTAAAAGTTCGAGTAAATGAAAACAAAAAAACGAAACAATTTTTTATCGACTAAACCAATTAAATTTCAACACAATGATACGTTCTTCCATGTCTGACACTCAATAAAGTAAGTAAGCATTTATCAATGCAAAGTCGCCTTTCTTGATTTTCCGTGTTCACATTCAGTACAAATTAGAATGAATGCTTTAAAGCACCTGTGTCTTTTGTGTGCGCAAAGTAAGTCGTCTGCCGAAATGATGGGTGGAATAAATGATCTGGTATTGGGAATTCAGCCAAAACTAATTGACTGCTGTCGTTGGCGTGACCTGGAAAATTGCAACAATGAACATCTTCCACAGAATGTCTGCATTTCATGTGTTCAAAAGCTTGAACAATGTTGGGAATTTGCTGAAAGTGTTTCTGCTGCCCAACAGGAACTATTGAGAATGGTTGACGATATCAAATTGGATTCATTTGAAGGCGATTTGTCAATGAAAATAGACACCATACACTGTGATGATGATATGTTTGAATGTGATATTAAGTTAGACCCAAGTTTAGAACATATACACTATGAAAAGGAAATTTGCACAATTGAGTTACCAAGCGTAAATGGGAATGCTTCAGTCGCTGAAGAACCAACAATAAAACACCTAGCAATACAGACATACAACAAAGACAAATTCTCTCTAAGAATAAATAGAGATCCATCGAAAAATGTCAATGAAGACATTGAATGTCATGCAATTCCTTTGATTCCAAAGTCAGAGCAACGAAAGGGAAAAGGTCCAAAAATTAAAAAAGTCAACTCAAAAAGGCAAATAAAGAAAAACGCCAAAGAAACCGCAAAACAAACCATGCACCAAAAATTGAAAAAATTTGCACAAAAAGAACCAAAAGAATATACGGCGTTAAAGTATAAGGAGTTTCCATTGCCGGAAAGACAATCAAAGTCCACAAAACCGGATGACACGTTTCTCGCACTCATCCGCAACGAAGACCGTAATGACGATGGAACAATCGAACCCGATCGAATTGGGCAATTGAAATTGAGCAGCTGGTTGATGTTACAATATCAATGCTATCTTTGTGGAACTTGTTCAGGTGAATACTACACATTGAGACACCATGTCTCGGAGGAACATCCGGGCAGTCCATTTAAATTGTTATGTTCATTTTGCAAGAAAAAGGAACCGAGAACGTTGACACGGAAACAAGCAATGATCGATCACACGAAGATTTTCCATTTCCCGCACTTGAAATATTGGTGAGACAATTTTTGAAAAGAAAATTATTTTAAAATCTTCGAAGTTTTTGCTCATGACACTGCTCCCCTGTTACAGTTGCTGGAAATGCAATAAATTTTACTGGGATATTAAAAAGTTGCGTGAGCATGTTTCTGGCCACAAACATTTACCAAATTTAAAGGAATTGGTTGGTGTACTTTGTCATCAATGTGGAAAAACATGTCGGGATGACTCACACTTCCGACAGCACTCATTTTCGCATATACCAGGCCCGGCAAAACCGTCATTCGAATGCTACATGTGTGGGAAAAGATACACCTCGAAACTCGCTCTGGACTATCATATGTTCGATCATTTTGGCGGTGAGAAGCACAAATGCGAAACGTGCCACTTGGAATTTAAGCGAAAAGATGCACTCAAACGACATATTCGGATACATTCAAAGGATTTTCCATTCCCTTGTCTTGATTGCGACAAAAGGTTCAAAACCAAAAAATCAGTCGATGTAAGTAAAGTGGATTGAAAATGTCTTGCAAGTGTTTGAGTTGAATGTATTTTATTATTATTATTATCAATTTGTGTTTATCAAACAATTGCATACATCACAATCACAAACATTCATCCAACATATTTCATAGATTGTAGGAGAGGTTTTTTTGGTGACAATACATTGCCAATCAAACGATTTAAAAAAAACAACAAGAAAAAAAACTAACAAAATATCTCATTTTCTTCTCTCTGTGTGTAATTCACATTTTTTGTGCCGTTTCATTTTATTGCATTTGAAACCACGAGTGCCTATAAAAAAAATCATTTTCGAAAGAATAACATTTCGCTTTGAACACGAACTTCGTCGAAAATGGAATGTAATTTTTTTTTCTCGTTAAGTTGGTATGCAGAATTTGAACCCTTACGTATTTTGTCAGATTGGTTTGCATGTCCGTTTTCAAATGATTGATTGATGTTTGATTTTGACGTATACATTTTGTTTTGACAAACAACGTGTTTCCGGAAAGTGTACAATTGATTCACACAAGAACTATTTTCAGACTAATATAAATATCAATCAAAAAATGGCTAGTGAAGAGAATCGTGGTTTTGCTTTGAATCAATCAAAAAAGGTAAACATTTTTCCAAGATGTAATCAGTGGTCGGCTTTTGAAAAGAGGAAACAAATGCATTTACAATCGAATCAATGATGAAATCTACGGATTTGCTTCTGTTTTACAGGCGAAGCTGGGCCGCTTCAAAACGTTCATGCGAATGGTTGAAAGTGGCGATATTGATGCGGTAAAGGCGATGCTAGGTGAAGTTTGTTTGGCCGACAAAGTGAATGAGGTACGTTTTAATTTTTCGAAGTTTTTTTTGACTCCAGATTTTCATGCTCTTCCAAACGGATTGGATTTACGGATTCTTTTGTGGGTTTTTGTTCTATATTTCAGCTAGGCGAGTCTCCTTTGCACATTGCCGTCAAGAAAAACGATTTGGAGATGGTCAAGTGCTTGCTTACTGTTTGCCCAATGATTATCAACAACAGAACAAAAGCATATCGGTAATTTTGTTCTTTTTTCACTTTATTTTGGTTTTTTTGTGGAGTATAGTGTCGCTTGAAGAGCTACATTCTGCGTGACATTGTTCTGTTTTATTAACTTTTTTTCAATTTGTGTATTAAACGCAGGTCAGCGTTGCACATGGCAGTGGCGAACAATTCCGAGGAAATTGTTAAATTTCTGATTGATCGTGGCGCATCGCTGGAAAACCTGGATATCGTAATTGAATGTTATTCGTCGATTCTTTCGCTTGATACATAAATGATAACGGACTTTATCTAAACAAATAAGTGATGTTTTTCGTTTTAGATGAAAAGAACGCCACTTTTTAACGCGGTCGCTGAAGGTCATGCGAATCTTGTCAAGCTGTTGCTGGATAAGGGCGCTGATTCAAGTGTCGTTGATAAGAATGGATACGACATGATGTTATGCACCGATTCCGATATCATTTCTGACATGCTGTGCGAGTATAGAGACAAAGCCATCGAACGGACTTTTAATGAAAATTTGACCTCTTTCATACAGTCAAACCGTGAGCAATTTGACAGATAAAATTCGATTTACATGACATTGACTTCAATAACACTCTGATTGGCTCATATTGATTTGACGAATTTTTCTTTTGACTTCATTGCAGTGGTATCGAATGAACCGAAGCCCTCGACTTCGTCTGCCAACCGACCAGAAGTTGAGAGACGCAACGGCGTGCCTAAACGGTGTGCGATGAGCAACGACGATACATCTGACGTACTCGAATCGTTTGCTTTGGAGCCGACAACGATCATCGTTCGAGGTGTTGACTCGCATCCTTCAACGAATCGACTTCCGTTCCGTCAAAAAATGCCAAAGTAACGAACAATTTGCAATCTGAAAACAATATCAAATCCATAATCACATTGCATATTTTTTTCAGACTTGTCGCGGCGCCAGTGTCATTGTTGCGCGTAAATAAAGTATACAGAATGATTTGCAATTAATCAAAGATTTGTTCAATATTTTTATGTGCACACCTTTCAGGCTGACACCGCTTCAACTGAACGGGCGAACAGCTCAAGTGGGAATGGTGCTGATTCTTTGTTCACCAAACTCCTGGGCCTACAGGCAGAGAAGCATCGAATTCAAGAGGAAAGTATCAGGAATCAGGCACAAATTGATCTCCTGATGGACATTTTACGACAACAACAAACTTGTGCTGATGCCTTGCTCGCGAAACTCAAGGGCCTGCAGGGGGAAAAGCTGCGGATTCAGGAGAAAAGGGTCAGAAATCAGGCACAAATTGATCTCCTGACGGACATTTTACAACCGGCGGACGATTGATTGGTTTTTTTTTTTAAAAGAATTGTCACGCTGAACTAGAAGTATTTCTTTCATGTATTTTCTTAAGAACCTTTCATTGATTGAAATAAAAAACCATGACCATGAGAATTGCGAAAAAAAATGCAATTGAAATAATATCAACAAAATGATTAAAGTGAAAAGAGAGTGCCATTTTAAAATTGAAGTTTTAAGTTTTAAAACTTTTAAAAAACCGTTAAAAGTCCGTTTGGGCCGGATCAGGAACACCATCGAATTCATACGGGTGAGCGTCCATTTCAATGTTCGCTGTGCACATACGATACCGCGGACATGAGGAACATTTATAAGCATATCAAACAGAAACATCGTAGGTTTTATGACAATTTTTTCAATATTCAAAAGTAGCATAATGAGAGTCTATAGGTACCATTTCCTAGCAGCCGATTTTTGTCGCCGATTCAAAAGGGCTATTCGGAATTTTGGGTACTTCTGGACCACTGAACCGATTTCAATTTTTTTTATATTTTCTGAATGGTGTAATCATCAATTTTCTAAAAATGTATATTATTTTAAAATTCATCAAGTGGTTCGACAACCCAGAAGAAATACCCAAAATTCCGAATAGCCCTCTTGAATCAGCGACAAAAATCGGCCGCTAGGAAATGGTACCTTATCCGATGAAAATAATCAAATATCAACTATTTTCATCAATTTCAGGCATTCTGGGTACCAATACGAGACTTCACTTCATCATAAAACCAAAGATTTTTTGAATCTTTATTGCTGTTTACACAATTTATCCTAATCTAATGGCATTTGGATTGGGATTTACAATTACACTATGTTCATTTAAAGGAGAAAAAATACCGAACGAAAAATGAACGCACCCGAAAATCGCTGTCTCACAATATAATGCTTTGTTTGACATCTGTCAGTTTGTCTAGTTATCACAAAAATAAAACAAATGAATGTAAACAAAAAGTTCGGTGTCTTCATTGAAAACATTATTTCGTTCAGGAAAATTGGCAAATGAAAATCAACCATCATGGAGAACGTCTGCAGATTATGTGCCAATGTAAAATCAGCCAGAGAGTTGACGTGCAGCATTGAAGATGAAACATTGAACATCGTACAGAAATTGATTGACTGCTGTCGATGGAATTTAATCGGTGGTTCATGTGAAAATTTACCACAAAAGATCTGTAGTACCTGTTTGACGCAGTTGGAAAATTGTTGGGCGTTCGCTGAACGTGTGGCAGTGGCTCAACAACAGCTATTGGCTCAAATTGACGAAGTCAAGTCAGAAATTCATTTCCAGTCATGTGATTCAATCGAAAATCACACACAAGATGAATTCAAAGACGATGTAAAAATCTTTGAAAATCCTTTGGATTATGAGTACAATGTTCCTTCGTCGTTGTTTGGAGAAGAATCAAAGGAAAACCTCAAACTTGATGACTTAGATCCAACCATAACCGAAATGCCAAGTGACCAGCTAATTGGCGAGAATGAAACGACGCCGAAGTCGATTAGCTATCTGTGCGAAACATGTGGTAAAAACTTCAACAGTAAATCAAATCTAAACACACACACAAAACTGCATTTGCCATTGGCAAGTAGAAAGCATTACGAGTGCTACATTTGCAAAACGACTTTTTCGTACAAAAAGAGCCTGACTCAGCATATTCCGACACACTGGGGACAAAAGATTCAACATCAATGCAATGTGTGCCAATTGCAGTTCTCGCGTGGCGATGCATTAAAACGACATTCGCTCATTCATCTAGGGAAACAACCGCATTTATGTGCAACATGCGGTAAAGGATTTCGAACCAAATTCAACTTGAAGGTAATAACACAATGGAAATTGTATTGAATTTTGGTTTCACAAATAGTTTCAACATGTTTTTTTGAGCACGGCTTTAGACACACGAAAGAACGCACACAGGGGATCGACCGTATGCATGCACCTATTGTAGCTATCGCTCAGGCCAGGGACCAAATTTAGGAAAACACATCAAGTTGAAACACAAAGGTCATTGGCAACAGACAATCGGTCACGTCAATTAAACACCAAGTTAACTTTCGAACGAAATCAACAATCAATCCCGAGGATAATTATGTGTGGAATTATTTAAATTACGATAAATTTTTGTAAAAATTCAAAATATGTACGTATCACGCCGCACGTTGCCCTTCGGTTTGAAAGCTTCAAGACTGCTGAGATTTCGAGCAAAATTTTGACACTATCAACAATATCTTAAGCATAATAAAAGAGGGAAAAAACGTATTTTTCAATTCGAAATTTGAATTTCAAATGTAGCCGTTCAATTTGATGTCATACATTGAAGAAAAAATAAAGAAAAGTTGATCATCTCCTCTCAATTGGCTTGATGTGAAGAAATAATCTCAATCCTAATCATCATTTTCTGTTTTCCAACGAAATACAATCGATTTGATCTTATTTTCATCTATGTTTCTCCCATAATAAATTGATTCATTTATTTACTTGTGTATTTATCTGGAAGCGAAGAAATACCGAACGAAAATGTGAACGCACCCGAAAATCACGCTCTCAATTAATATAGGCCTTTGTTTGACATCTGTCATGTGTTTTGAAGTCATATGAATGTAAACAATAATCAGTGTTCCGACCGAATTTTTCGTTTAAAATATCAAGAAAAATAAATTACGACCATGGAGAACGTGTGTCGCTTGTGTGCGGGTGTAAAAACACCAAAGCAATTGAAATCTAGTATCGAAGACCAGTCGTTGAATATTGAACAGAAGCTAATCGACTGCTGTCGCTGGAAATCGTTTGACCCATATGAAACTTATAATTTGCCCCGACTGATTTGTAATAGCTGCTTAAAAAATTTAGAAAAAAGTTGGGCGTTTGCCGAAAGCGTGGCTCAAGCTCAACAGGAATTGCTTGCACAAATGGCCGAAACAAAACCAACAGTATTGTTGGAAATTGAAAGCGTTGACACGGTAGACAATAAAAATGTACCGAGCGAAGAGTATATTGAAGAGATTAAAGTATCGTTGAGTCCACGTGATGCATTCAGCTATGAACACGATTTTACTGTTGACGAAACAGTACCGGTAGCGTGTAACTATGAAGATACGACTTCTGACGATAACAAATGGAATTTAAATGCCGTTGAAGCAAAGCAAAAGGATCGAATCGATATAAATGTTCTAACCCTTTTGTCTGAAAATGATAAGAATTCCGACGGAACAATCAATAAAGATAAAGTGTTAGAATTGGATTTGGATGATTGGACAATGGTTAAGTGGCGATGTTGTGTTTGCAAAGGCATTTTCGAAAATCATCGTCAATTGAAAGCACATTTCGATCAAAAACATACGGAGGATACACTAAAGATTCTGTGTTCATTTTGTAATACATCGTTTGGCAAAAGACGATCGGTTTTACGGCATATTGTACGGAAACATAGGCCATATCTGAAATTAAGGTATGTATTGAATTGTGTATTCATTCTCTGTTAGAACAAGAGGTTTTTAATCTGTCATTTTTCATGAAAAGTAACTAACTGTAGGTGGTTTGACCTATTTTTTTTTTGTTCACTTTCAGTTGCAAAAAATGTGGCACATTCTTTTGGAATCAAAATGCACTCAAGAGCCATATATCCATATCGCATGCCAAGCCAGAGCAACTCGGCCAACTGTGTGAAATATGCGGAAAAAGTTTTACGAGTGAATCGAAATTACAACATCATACACGTTTGCATTTGCCGATTGAACAACGACGGTCCTTCGAGTGCTATGTCTGTAAATCGCACTTTGCATACAAAAAAAGCTTAGTACACCACATGCCGATTCATTGGGGACAAAAGATACAATATCAATGCGATGTTTGTTTATCGAAATTCTCTCGAACCGACGCATTAAAACGACATTCGCTCATTCATCTCGGTAAATTGCCACACGAGTGTCAATACTGTGGAAAGGGATTTCGAACCAAGTTCAACTTGAAGGTACAATTTGAGTGCATAAACGATTATTCGGAATAACTTATTCCAATAATTCAATCTTTTTGATCATAACTTTTCCTTTTCGTTTGGGCCGGAACAGGTGCACGAACGAATTCACACAGGTGAACGCCCCTACGCATGTTCATTTTGTGAATATCGTTCTGCTGATGGGCCCAACTTGGGGAAGCATATCAAGCAAAGACACAAGAATCAGATGGAGATGCAACATTCGATATTTGCACAAGTAAAAAGTGTACATTAAGTTCTTGGGCATTTATCACACAGACTGAACCAACAAAATTTTTTCAATTTGATATTTATCAAGCTTAATATTTATCTGAAAAATTTTGTTAACAAAAAATTGCTATTGAAATTAATTCAAGGTTTTTAAAATCAACCTAAGATAAAACAAATATATTGAAATCGATGTTAATGAGATAAAAGCATAAATGACTTGGATGTGATTCTGTGAACGCGCTCCTGATAGGCTTAGTTTTGACATCTGTCAGTTCGTCTAGTTATCACAAAAATAAAACAAATGAATGTAAACAAAAACTTCGGTGTCTTCATTGAAAACGTTATTTCGTTGAGGAAAATTGGCAAATGAAAATCAACCATCATGGAGAACGTCTGCAGATTATGTGCCAATGTAAAATCAGCCAGAGAGTTGATGTGCAGCATTGAAGATGGAACATTGAAGAATCGTACAGAAATTGATTGACTGCTGTCGATGGAATTTAATCGGTGGTATTAAATGTGGAAATTTACCACAAAAGATCTGTAGTACCTGTTTGGCGCAGTTGGAAAAATGTTGGGCGTTCGCTGAACGTGTAGCTGTGGCTCAACAACAGCTATTGGCTCAAATTGTCGAAGTCAAGTCAGAAATTCATTTCCAGTCATGTGATTCAATCGAAAATCATACACAAGATGAATTCAAAGACGATGTGAAAATCTTTAAAAATACTTTGGATTATGAGTACAATGTTCACATTGGAAATTGTATTGAATTTTGGTTTCACAAATAGTTTCAACATGTTTTTTTAGAAACACGAAAGAACGCACACAGGGGAACGACCGTAGGCAAATTTAGGAAAACACATCAAGTTGAAACACAAAGAACAATGGCAACAGACAATCGGTCACGTCAATTAAACACCAAGTTAACTTTCAGAACAAAGCCAATAATCAATCCCGATGACAATTGTGTAGAAATTTTTACATTGAGTAAGAATGTCAAAAAAATTGAAAATATGTATCGCGTTGGCCTTTAGGATGGCTGGAATTTTGACTCAAATTATGGCATTGACTAATTTCGTTTCCTTTGGACAACACTCTTGTCTAGTCTCATTTATGTGCTTATTGTTATTAAATAGAAACTATACGTTATTTGTCAGTGCCATTGTCGCAGCCGTTCATTGAACTTAGCTTTATGTTAGCGTGAACCATCTCAACAAATATTATTCTTTAAAAACACAATTTTGAATAAATTCCAACAACGGATTTTGGAATTATGTTCGAAAATATATTTATACATGATAATAAAAGAACTGTGAGTAATATTTTATCAAAAGAACATGAATCTTAACATGTCACGTTTGAATTGTTGCAGAAAATCAATAAACAAGGACAATGATACATTTGCTGTAAAACTGGATTAAAATAAATTGTTCTAGTTTTCTGACGTCCTCATTGTTTCTTCTTGGTTGTATCATTTCATATACATACGCAAAATAGGAAGAAAAGGATTGACAAAAGTCCATTTCTTGTGGTTAGTTCAGCCCAAAATGCCCTTTGTGTGGTGTAAATGTGACGATTCCATTAAATCTCCTGAGTGAAATAACCGTTTAGTTTTTGGTTTGTGATACAAAGACGATGCGATTTACCTACTTAAGAAAGGACAACACTGTGACACGGATGTAGCACATTTATTAGTTTTTCCCCCATCAAACTTTTCTCATGAGCTGTTGATATGTTGTGCATAATTTCATGACCCTTTTCAAAGATAAACGTTGAAACGTACGTGTATCGTCTAATTTCCAACGACTTGAATCCTCATGATGACCTCCAAGAATTTAATGAAAATTAAATTCATTTTGTACAGTGGCATGCGTTACTAAAAAGGATAAACGTGAGAACTATTGCCATAATATATTACACCTTCGAGCCAATTGTGTCACTTTTAATCGATACATAAAATCTATCCGTTCCAACTTTCGTTCACACCGCACGTCTGAATCGGGCAGGCAAATTAATTTGATAATTTAATGCACGACCACGACATTTGGTTTTACTTTGTTCACAGCGACGCCACATTGAGATACAAATCATTAAAATCGATAGCATCTCGAAACGGCTTGATTACACAGACGGAACATCATTTCAGAAAATTCACCGACAAAAAGCTTTTCTACTTCAATCCGTGCTCATTGGTAACTCACCACCAGTGATGTGTATTAAATCGCATTAGCCGGAGCGTTCGCTGCGCACAGACGGTTCAAATGCAAATATAGACTAGGGAGAAGCGATTTATTGCCATACCTCAAGGTTCGATGAAAGCATTTCGATACGGTGTGCACAGATATTCAATTCAATGGTTTTTGCTCTCGTTGTTCGATTGGCGTCTGAAATGCACGTTAATTCCTTGCAAACATTTCGACTCAGTGGAGTGAAAGGGGCTTTTTTTGTAACACTTTCCCATTTGTTTCAGCGGGAATAAAAGACTCGGAGTGTCGATAGCTGCAAAAACCGTTCTCCTTTTGCTATTTGTTTGATTGCGTCCGGATAATGTGGCGGTGATAGACGCGTTGTGCAAAAAGATAAACTTTTTGTGCATGAAAAACATAACTAGGAAAAAAAGAAAGACTGGCGACAGCAGCTCAATTCGTTTTTTTGTTTGTAAATCCCCAGTTGAAAACCTAATTAGAAACTGGTTGATGAAGATCTTGACATGCGTTAGCACGATTCTTATGCCTATTCGATTCAGTACCTAATGGCAATGGCAAAATTGTATCACATCATTGCGTTCCACCTTCGTGACCAAGATATTCAGCCGGATGCGCAAAGTTTTGTGTGAATTTTATCTGATAAAATTTGGCATCTAATTAGAGTTTGGCGAGTTTTCTTCCCTTCGTCGAAGATTTATCGACAGGCTCAGCGGTATACTTTCGACGTTTCATGGTCACACGGTCATTAATCATTATCAATTAAAAATCGTTATTTATTATGGATTCAAAAAGGTTTGACCAGAAAGTGTTTACCTCAGCAATTTCCATTGGTTTGATATTGCGGTCTCGCATAAATTCAACAGTCGACCATTTTCCACGTTAAAGTAATCGGCTTAAAATGTGGCTACGATATCAGATTGGTTCTTATACCGCCGTTTGCGTTCCCACCATTTGAGCGGGGCAATTCACGGCATTTTATTCGTAAGAATGCTCTCTGATTTTCACCATTTCACGTCAATGAATTTAAATTGAAAAGTATGTGCAATTTGTCTTGTCTAAACGAAACAAACGGCTTGGGCACACGACAAATCAATGTGATACATAAACCATGCATATCGTACAGACACGGCTCTAGGCAAATTTTTCGTCGGTTTTTCTTTTGTTTTTGATGTACGTGAAAGGCTTTTTGTTGCTTGTCACAACGATGAGATGCCATTTGACTTGTCGCATTTGGTAATAAATGCAAGATGTCGAGATTTACTCGTTAAACTAAAAGAAAGAATGTCATAAAGCAAAAGATACCCAGCAACCACACAAATTTAAACATAGACATGGCCAATGGAGTTTGTTTACTGTCTAAAACCAAGGCGCGCAAACACAGAACGGAGATTCTTAACGAAAAAAGTGTCAGTGTTGTTAAAACTCGAGCGCGATATGATTATGATGAATTTCATGTGTCACCTGTGCGTCACTTTTATCATTTTATGTATTACTTTGGCTGCTTTTGTGCACGCTCGTGGCACCATAAAATTATTCAAATGCTTGGAGGACTCACACAAAGTGGGTTGTGCGAAGTAAGAAGCATTTAAATTCTAGCATTGGCCTAAATTTTCGCACTACGGTAGCATGGTCACATAACCGAAACGGGAACACAGAATTGAATTGTAATTCGTAATTTTCGTGCACAGCAGAAAGTGAGTGTGTTTTTGTCTTAAAAGTAGGATAATGTCAAAGGTTGACGTAATACAGTCACCGTGCTTATCATAAATTCAGTCATTATTGTAACAATGCCATTCAATTCTATGAAAATATGATGGCAATCCGTAGTTCCTTCCTAGCGACATACATTTGCTGTGATTTAAGGCTGGGGAAAATTCAAAAGGGGAAACATTGGTTGATGTATCGGAGCAGTGCGCATGAATAAGACCAACAGGTTAGCGGAGAGTTCATCGGGTTGAACGTCTGATTTGAGTGAATTGTTCGTTGAGTAAAAACTGTGGTTCATCCAAGGTAATGACTAAAAATCACCCTCCAGACTGAACAGTATGAAGATAATATTCATGGGGTGCAGTGCTATTGCTGCTGCTGTTAAGGCACTCATTTCCTTTAAGCGCAGGTTTTTACACGTCATTTAAATCAAACCTCTAGTCATCGACGAGACGCAGAGAGAATGAGAATAAAAAAAAACGCACGAAGGAAATGAGAAAACGGTATCATGAAATTTTACGTAGCTGCGATACACAAATTGATACAGCGTGAACTTAATGAAAGTATCATTTTTATGGTTTCTAATAAAAGCACATGTGCCAACGATGATTTTATGTTTTCATAGTTTTTTTCCCTCTCACACTTCATCATTGTAAGAAACCTATGAACCACCTGCTTATCTTCACATTTTGAACAATTGTAGAGCGCCATCCATAATTGACGGCAAAATCATCTGTAAATAGCCGTAAGTGATTTCGACATATTGTGAAATGTTGCGAAATCACACCAATTAGTACTGAATTTTGCCGTCATTTATGGACGGCGCTCTACAATTTCACACTTCGTATTTTGTATGTATTCAATACAAGATTATATGCGTGTGCTATGAACACTTTCATTTTCTACTTCTTCCTGTTTTTTCAATCATAATTATCGATTCAATCTCTATGCCATAGATTCGTTTCAAACGGGAATTTCTATTGAAAATATATCAGATCGACCGATTGTTGTCGATACATATAGAGGCAAAGCATCAATTTTGAGATCCATTTGATTAAGCCAATTTTGCATCTTCATTTTTCAGTCATCAGTTTTCATCGTGAATGGCGCGAACATATGCAACATGAATGTAAGAAAGAATATACAAAGAGGGTGGTGTGGCACGATATTACTGCCACAAAAGACAACACAATTTCCGTTGCAAGAGCAAATTTTTATCCGTATATTAACTGATGTAATACGCTAAATGTGCCATAATATTCGCCTTAACACCATATATGAGTTTTTTTTTTCGTCTCTCTAGTCGATGCAAACTTTTCCCTTTTTCACGCATCCAGATACAAATCCGATCGACATACATAGACTCATGTCAGTTACAAAATGCACATTTTTTAGAAAAACCCA